CCTTCTCAAATTGAAGAGGCTTTCTAAGTAAAATTCGTATGTTTTTTATATGATTAGTATTTTATTTTTTAAATTAATAATTTATTTTATTTTGGTATTTATTTGTAATCTTTATTTGATTATTTAAGTAAACAGTTTTCTTTGTGTTATTTGTATTATTTTATTTTATTTTTTGCCAAACAATTCATGAAAAGAGACCACACATAATCCTTCAGTATTGCATACAGGTTTCAGGTTGACTTGTGTTCTAGCTAGGATAATAGCGTAGGATACTGAGGGTATGCTCTGACTCCAATTAACCCAAGATCGAAGAAAAAGAAAACAATATTGGGGTTGTTGTGTCGCAGTCTCTTGTTGGTGAATCCAAAATTTTGCTGTTCACGCAACTTTTAATGTTCATGGGATCCACTTAGGATTCTTCAAATGCTTTGTCTCCACTTTCTCTTCTCAAAACTATGAACGTACCTGAAAATTCTAAATACAACAAAGAAGATCACGTATATGTTTAGGTAGTTTTGCATTTCGACAATTATTGAACTTCTTCTGCCGACCAACCAATTGGTAGCTGCCACGTGTTTTAAAAAGAAAACATATGATCATAAATTTAACGTTGAAAAAATTATGAGAAAAGAAAAAAAATCAATGAAATGGTTATATTTTGTTATTGAATCCAAATTTCCCTTTCAAAAGTTATCGTATTATAAATTTCATGCATGGATATTGTGATTATATCCATTGCTTGTCTGTCGTCACAGATTATTCAAATAGCCAACATATTTTTTTTGTGTTTTTAGGAATATAATGGTTATTTTTGTTAAATATATTTAAATAACTGGATCCAAATTAAATAAATATGATTTAATGTATGATAAAAATGATAAAAAAAATTATTTTTATTTCATTTTATTTCTTTTACCTAATCTAGATCATTAAATTAAAAATTAATAGTGAGATTTGAAACATTATATATATAAATATATATTGGATGTCTTCACTTTTTTTTTTTTTAAGAACAGGAGCAGTGTCTTAGATATTTATTGATAAAAAATGAAATAAAAATACAAAAGGAGACAAATTAGCCTATCGCAATAGATTGAAAGGACAAAGAAGGATATCGTTACATCAGTTTTAGTAAGTTTATCATTTTTTTAAACTAAATTAACACTAGAAAAGTATATTTAGTTTTTTATAAATTGTTGGACTGCTTTTTAGATCAAATCAGTCAAAATCTAATATTATTAAGAGATAATTATTGTTAACCATTCGTGAATAATATAAATTGAATTTTGATTTTCTCTGAATCAAAACAATTCTTCGATAGACCCCTTCCTTTCGTTTACCAACTATGTACATGTGTCCCTATCTTTTTCAAAAAAAAATAAATAATAACGTGATTCTCTAGCTCTTTGATCCCCTTCGATCCCCCACTCAGTCCCTCCACCTTTATAGCTTAAATCGTGCCATATTTGTGTATGTTTTTGGAGAACACATATGCAAGCATGAAAGAGATGAAAAATATTAATTAATTTCGTATTCGAGAGATTTGATTAAAAGCCAATGAAATCCTAAATTTGAGCATCTGATCGCATCAAAAGTTCAAAACCATTCAATTTCCCTTTGTTGCTTGTTAATTAGAACCGACAACCTTTTGACTTTGGTTGTCTTGTGTATGCTCTCCCCACATAATTCACACTCCAATAAAATAATTAATTAGCCAGTACCATCAACAGTGCGTTGCACCATGCAAAATTAATTCAAAGTTCATCATTTTTATTCACTAATTAGAGGATTGTAGCCTAATTACCTACTCCTGCTCCACCTTCTCTTTCTCACCTGCATAATGGTCGGCATATCCTCATTAACTATTGTTTATTTTGCTGGGCATTTAGTGAACATGGTTTAAAGTATAATTTTTTAATGAAAAGTTTAAAGTTTATTTATTTTATTCGTTAAATATTGTCAAACTTAAGTTGTTGAATATCGTTCTGACATAAAAATAAATTGAAGAAAGATTTATATTCATAAACAAATTGAAAGTAATTAATTAGATTTATAAAGACCTATTGAAACCTAAATAAAAAAAGTATTAAAAATCAAATTAAACTAATATTTCAATTGAACATGAATATCTCTCAGCACGTGAGAAGTATATTATGAGTGGAATTTCTTTTTTCTTTTTTTCTTTTCCTTGGACCAGAGATATATAAAAAGACAAGAACCAAAATATAGAAAGATGCATGCATAACCATCACTATTTTTTTATACACAAGAGATGCCAAGACATTGAACATATGAACAAGAATTGACTGCTTCACTTTCTGCAGAGCATAGCTATCATAGTCCACTAGTTTCGACATGCCATGTTAGTTTATATATATATATATTATCACTTTTGATAGATTTGATATTATTTTATTATTGTTTTTTTGTCTATACTGTTTTTTTCTTTAAAAAAATAGGCTTTTGGAGTAACGAGCATGCTCTAAGGATATTTCTGAAATTTTAGGTATAAAATTTAAACAAAACTAACCAAGCGTTTGTTTTGCATAAAATGTTTTACAGAAAACTGATCAACATAAAATATTTTACAGTAAAATATGTTATTGCTTTTTTTCTTTTGTTTAATAGAAATACCAAGACATATTTAGTGGTGAAAAATCTCTTCCCCTATACTCTATATTCTTCTCAGAAGGCGACCGCATGGCCGACTATCAAAACCCTCACATCTCTAAGCTCAAGAAATCTTTCTATTAATATAATTTTCATGAGAGCTTTCTTTTGAAGCTTTTTATTTTTATTTTTTAGGCCAGTCCATGGAAAGACCTACTAAATTATTGCTCACGTAATTAAATTTTTTTCTTTCATCTTTTTTTTACTAAATGAACAACGATCACTCGAATAGATTTAAAAATATATAAAATAATAGATAAAAGGTAACTCAACTAGAAAAATGATAAAAAAAGTTGGACACTAAATACATTTGGAGCCTGCCTTTTGACATGCGTTGACGAGATAATATATAGATTAATTAACTCTAAGCATTCAAATATAAAAAAGTTATAGAAAAATAGACAAAATTAAAAATAAGATACTCAAATAAAAAAAAATGATAAAAAGTAAGACATCGTGAATACAAATATCTCTATAACCCTCCCACTAATCATCTCCGTTATCAATTTCTTTTCAAAAATTTATTCTCTATGAATCACCCTCTAATTAATATTTCATATATTTATCAATAAATTACTTAAATCCACATTTGTTAGGAAAACTAATTGAAAACACTCTTCTATTTTGTCAACTTCAATTTTCCCCGAAAAGAATAGACAGTTTGTCAATTAGCTATCTAAGAACATTAAGGCCCACTATGTATATATATATATATATATATATATATATATATAGTGTTTCAATTTTTTTTTCTCTAGATTTTTCATAATTTTTTCATTAAGGCCCACTTTTTGTCACGCATCACGAGATAATGGACAAATCATCGCCTAATAGGCTGAATGAAAAACAATCACTCAAAATAGATAAAAAATAAATAAATAAATAAAAAGGGAAATCAAATATATAAAATTAAAATTAAGATATTCAAATAGAAAAATAATAAAAATTTGGACCCCAAATACATAATTTCTATTGGAGCTCACTTTTTGACAGTCAAAGAGAGAGAGAGAGAGAGAGAAAAGGATAAATAAGTCAAGTATAGGTAAACTAAAAAGCCCTCTAATAAAAAATAATAATAAAAAGTATTCATATATTTCTATGGTCCTCTCGCCCGTCTTTACATCAATTTCTTTTCAAAAGTTTATTCTCTATCGATCTCTAATGTTTCATCCATTTATCAATAAAGTCCTTCCATCCACATTTCTTAGCAAAATTAATAAAAAATGCCCTTCTATTTTGTTAATTTCAATTTCTCCCCTAAAAGTATAGACAATTTTTCAATTAGCTATCTAAAAAAATTTCACACATAATTTATTTTAAGTCTATTATATATATATAATAGACTTGTTGACTTATTAACTGCGGTATGGTAGACTTGTTCATATGTATCGCACAACAGTTCTGTAGTTCCATGACATTTTTGCATGAGTTAGCATTACTCATGATTAAATAAAGAAATTTTTTTTCCAAAACATAACTAGAATAATCTTAACTTAAAATTAATCAAATTACTTTTAACCACAATGGTGATTCGTTGGTAAGTAAATGTCAACTTGTAGACTAAATCAAGGGTTCGATTTTTTTAGCCAAAACTTCGAGAATTTATTTTTAAAATATCCGAAATCGTACATCGAGAAATATCCTTTATCTACATTTAGAAAAAAATTAATTTCGAAATATATAAAAGTTAGCTCGGGACATCTTTTTGCTAAACCTAAAAAACCATATTATTTGAGTTGTCAAATCCATCAAATGAATTTAAACATAATAAAATTTTGTCAATTTTGATATTTTATAAGAGATCATAAAAATTATCATGAATGAACTAATTTTTGTGTAAAATTTAATAAAATTATTTTTTAATCATTATATTGACATAACTTTTTATATATAATTAGTTGGAACTTACAAAAAAGATTATTGTAAAACAGAAACAAACAAAAACAAAGAAAGAAAGAAAAAAACTTAATTGGTCATAGGAGAAGGTGGACCACCAAAACGTTAATGCAAAGCCAAAAGGCCACTCTCTAACACAACAACTCTATCCAATAACATATTGCAAAGCCTCAAGACTCTCCTTTGGAGTTCCAAGTAAGTGCGCAGACCAAAGCAGCATCTGTAGCAAGCAAGGATCACGCTTTTTTTCCTGGTAGAAGTGTTATCCACGTTTGTTAGACTGCGAGTGGACTTGGAAGTTTCAAGGATCGATGGCTTGGAGCTTATATATTTAAGACAATACCTCTGCCTCAATTTCAGCAGAGTAAGACAACAACCTGTTTCTTGCATTTTTCTTTCCCTAGAGCAAGAAAGAGCTAAGAGGTGCAAGAGAGATGGACATGGAGGCAAAGAACAAGTGTGTGATCAGTGAAGAGAATACAGTTGATTGGAGAAGCAGGCCCTCCAATCCCAACAAGCATGGTAGCATGAGAGCTGCAGCATTTGTTCTTGGTATGCCCTATTTCTTTATCTCTCACACACAAGTCACAAGTGTGTGTGTGTGTGTGGTTTTCAGATCTTGCTTTGGCATGGATTTGTTCTTTCTCTCTCTCTTTGTAATTAATGGTTTCTGTTTTCTTGGAGTAATTAATATATTCTCTGAAACAACACATGGCAGAATTAGAAGGTGCTGTCTTGATTTTTGTAACATAAGTTCAGCTTCTCTTCCATGGCTCCACTTGCTATTTCATTTTATGGTTCAAATCATTGATTGGATATAGTCCTAGGCTCCTAGCTACATGTGCTTTTATTTCTTCTTTTTTCACAATACATAACGTATATGTGTTTGATAGTGAAAGCAACAAGAGTCAAAATTTTTGAAAATTCCACAGCATAAAGTAAGAATATGACTTGATTCTCTCTCTCTCTCTCTCTCATGATTTTGTCTACTCTTTTCTGCAAACACTTGATACATTTTTTTGGCATGGAATCTCAGGACTTCAAGCGTTTGAGATAATGGCAATAGCTGCTGTAGGGAACAACCTCATAACATATGTGATAAATGAGATGCACTTCTCTTTGTCAAGGTCTGCAAACATTGTGACAAACTTTGTTGGAACTATCTTTCTCCTGGCCCTCCTTGGTGGCTACCTCTCAGACTCTTATCTTGGATGTTTCTGGACCATGCTCATCTTTGGTTTTGTGGAACTTTCTGTAAGAGCTCCTTTCTTTCCAATCACCTTTTCAATTTCTCCTTCCACTTTTTTGTCTTTCTCCCAATTCATCTCTCTTTCCACAATGGTGGCTCACTTTATATATATATATATATATATATATATATATATATATCTGTTCAATATATTACTAGCTATGAGCTTTACATATATTCCCTTCTATGATTTAAGACAAGACAAACTTCTATGTATGAAAGGACAAATGAAGAGTTATGAGGAAAAAATTGTCTGTATGTTAATAATGAAGATTCCTTCTCATCAACAGATATGATTTTTATTTTGAATTTGTAGGGATTCATATTACTATCAGTTCAAGCTCATCTTCCCCAACTAAAGCCACCCCAGTGTAACATGTTAACCGATGGAGAAAACTGTGTAGAAGCTAAAGGGTTCAAGGCCTTGATCTTTTTTGTAGCCCTGTACTTGGTGGCATTAGGGAGTGGATGTGTTAAACCCAACATGATTGCTCACGGGGGTGACCAGTTCAATCAAAGTAATCCAAAACAGTCCAAGAAGCTCTCTACCTACTTCAATGCTGCCTATTTTGCTTTCTCCATGGGTGAACTTTTTGCTCTAACACTTCTTGTATGGGTTCAAACGCATTCTGGCATGGATGTTGGTTTTGGAGTCTCTGCAGCTGTCATGGCAATGGGATTGATCAGCTTAGTTTCTGGTACTCTATATTACAGGAACAAACCCCCTCAAGGAAGCATTTTGACCCCCATAGCTCAAGTAATGTACCTTGACCGCTTTTCTTCCTTTTTTGCAATTTGGGATTTTTGGTGTTTCTACGTAGTTTCCTGCTTTATCTCTGGCTATTTCATGCAATTCAAATCCTAACTCCTCCTCCTTTGCAATAGCACCAAATAAACTATATTGGTTCGCGATGCATGTAAACCGACCAAAAGCTAAGCGGATTCTACTACTGGCTTAATTCAGGAAGCTGTAGACTTAGTTTCGATTGATGCGAAAGCTGATATGAAAATACCTGCTACCTGTAAATATTAAAAAAAAAAAATTAAAAACATGGTTTTTTGTTTAAATTATAACAGATGGAGAGAGAGAGAAAGTGCACCTATTGTTTAGTAATTCCTTTGTTCTCAATTAGGAATTGGAACTTAGAGGTTAGTGGTTAGTGGTTATTTGAATTTTTATGTAGTGGACTTAACATGATTCTGCTGATTGTGTCTGCAATTTTGTCTTGCTTATGCTGTCAGGTAAATAACTAATACCCTCTTATTCTTTATTCATGCTTTAAAAAAAGAAGAAGTTATTATAGAAAAATACATTACTTAATGTTTTGATTACACAATCATTTATTTTGGGGTAGACAAAAATAGAAGAAGTTAATTCCATCCATTTTTATCCTACTTTTCCAAACAATATTTATGGTTCTGTATGGGTTTCACAGGTTTTTGTGGCTGCCATATTAAAGAGAAAGCAAATTTGTCCATCAAATCCACAGATGCTTCATGGAGGCCAAAACAGTGCGCTAAATAATGCCATAGTTGCTCCATCTTCTAACTCTGACGGCCTAGCTCATACACACAGGTTCAGGTAAATCAGAATTTTCTGAATCAACTAAGCATAAGCCACATGTACCAAGTTAACATGTTCTTTTGGATCCTTATTTTACAGATTATATGTTTATCAAAGATAAGGAATTTTGGTTCTTTGAATTGATATTTATAAATAATAACTAATCTCTTTTGACCAACGATTTGAACTTAGAACATAATCAAAATGGCCATCCATAAAATTTCAGGTTCTTGGACAAGGCCTCCATCAAAATTCAAGATGGGGCCAATACAAAGGAGAGTCCATGGAGATTCTGCAGTGTCACTCAAGTGGAGCAGGTGAAGATACTGATTTCGGCTCTTCCCATTTTTGCTTGCACCATAGTTTTCAACACCATCTTAGCTCAACTCCAGACATTCTCAGTCCAACAAGGGAGTGCCATGGACACCCAACTCACCAAATCCTTCCATATCCCTCCTGCTTCGCTTCAAGCCATCCCTTACATCATACTCATCATCGCAGTTCCTCTATATGGCACTTTCTTTGTACCCTTCGCAAGAAAAATCACTGGTCATGAATCAGGAATATCTCCTTTGCAAAGGATAGGAGCCGGCCTCTTTCTCGTTACCTTTTCCATGGTTTCTGCTGCCATTATGGAGAAGAAGAGGAGGGATGCAGCTGTAGATTCCAACAAAGTACTGTCCATATTTTGGATCACCCCGCAGTTTCTAATATTTGGATTGTCAGAAATGCTCACTGCTGTTGGTCTCATAGAGTTCTTTTACAAACAGTCCTTAAAAGGGATGCAGGCTTTCTTAACAGCTATCACCTACTGCTCCTATTCATTTGGATTCTTCTTGAGCTCCTTGCTAGTTTCTTTGGTGAATAAGATCACCTCATCGGGTTCTGAAAATAAAGGTTGGCTTAGTGACAATGATCTCAACAAAGACAAGCTGGATCTTTTCTACTGGATGCTAGCAGTTCTTAGCTTCCTCAACTTCCTAAACTATCTATTTTGGGCTAGATGGTATTCTTACAGTCCAGTATCTATATCTCTATCCACCACAGCACAACAAGAGACATTTGGTGACAACCATGGCTTCATCAACTCTTCAAAACATGTTGGGGATATTGAAATCATACCTTAACTGATGTTTTTATATCACTTGGTCAAAAGAGCATGCTTTCATGCCTCACACTATTATAGGATTGTAATATAGGTACAGGATAATGAAAAAAAAACTAAAAAAAAAGGAAGAAGAAAGTTAAGGGATCTCCCTTTATTATTCCTTGTGTGTTTTCCTTTTTCTCCCTTTCCTTCCTGGTCTTGCTGCAGGAATTAAGCTCTCTTGAGGGAGGCACATATTTTTTGTAAAAAGAAAAGAAAAGGTAAAAATAATGGAATAATGTGAAGTTGTGTGGAGCATAAAGCAATCTGAAAGCTCAAAACAGTTTTCAAGGTTCTAATGATATGGTAGAGATGCAAAATAGTGGGAGAAAAGAAGATGCATTTTTCAACGGTGCTTTCCAAAGAAGATCCATTGCATTCTCCTCATTTTAGTACTATACATCCAAGCCATTCCTTGATCATGGGGTCGTCATCACTTTCTTGGATTTACAAAAAACGGAAATTTGCTGTTAGTGCTCCTGAAGACAGGTCTTCTCGAGCAATCTAACTTCTATGAAGTGATGAATGTATATGGAAAATAATCAAAGCCTCTATCAGTAAAGTCCAAAGGTAAAATTGATGCTATGAGAGAGAGAAAACCTACAAGACAAAATGAGTGGAGAAGTTGTTCTCATCCCATTGAAACATGCCTCAAACATGTCTTGATATTGGAGCTAGGTCCCTCCCTGCACAAACCTTTTGCCATCTATTTTTTTCTAACACCACTGGCTAAATATTCATCAAGATGTTGGCTCAAAACAGGCATGGACAGGGTCCCCCTTCAAGAATGTTGGAGCTCCTCCCATTTGGTCAAGGATCATATGATAGCTGGTTTGCTATGATCAGAGTGCATAGAAGCCAAAATATACAGTGATGGTAGGATAGAAATATATAGATAGTAGAAGAAAAAAAAACATTAAACAAATAATAATCATAATAAGAACATTATTACAAATCAGTTTCCACCTATGCAGTCTTTTTTATACTTCCAATTGAAATATGTTTATAATTTTGATATAATTTAAACAAATACCGTTTTATTCTCATCCAATCCTTGTCAGTTTCTTAATAATACAAGTTTTTAAGTATCTCAAATTCTAACATTTGACTACTTATTTCTATGCCTTCTCTCAATAAATGAAATGACAGAAAATGATATGACTTAGAAATTCAAGTGTTATAAAAAAGTTTACCCAAAAAATTTTCTAATTAATTTGTTTTCAGAAACCGAAGGGACTAATTTATATTTTACTCCATCACACGGTGAAAAGTAATCATGCCAGAATCTAGTTGTAAAATAGTTTTTTGGATAAATAACTTAATATATCTTTATATAATAGCATGAGTCTCCAATTTATTCCTATGTTTCTCAATTTATTCTTGTGTTTCTAAACAGGTTAGTTATTATATTCTTAAATAATGTTTAAGTTTTCAAAATTGATTGGTCCATATAAATATTTCAATAATCAACCTCACATAGGGATTTCTTTGTTCTTGTGAAGGGTAATTTAGTGACTTGAGAACAAAAAATTTAAAGTAATGTGCCACTAAAAAAAATAATGTATTAATAGCGTCTTTCTAATCAATAATACAAAATTTCAAGGGATTTGGTCTGGTTGTTAAAAAGATCTAATTTTTTTTTAAAAAAAAAATGGATTTGAATTTTAGAGTTAGCATCTAAAAGAATTTATTAAAAATTTTTAAATGCACCAAACAGATGTGGAGGATGTGTCTAAAAATAGTCGAGAAAGAAACTTAGTTTTGGTTGATCTGCAAGTAAGTCAAAAAAACCTTAACTGTTGAATAAAAAAATAATAATACAGAATAACTGCTTCCAGCATATATAAGAATCCATGGAAGAATTAGAAGGTTCTCTTTCTTCGTAATTGAACTCCATTATCATTCCCTCGAATGCCTTTTCTTAATTAAATATGGTTAAATGGTCCAAACATTTCTTAAATTTTAAATCATTTAACGCCAAAGTAGGGAGATCAAATAAGGGCAAGACCCATTACATTACAACAATTCATGCATACTGCTATACTTGCGCTATTGAAAAACATTCTAACTTTAAATGTGTAAAATTTTGTTGAGTTGGTCACCAATTAATAACCCATTTCACTCATAAAATGAAACATCATTTTTATTATAGTCTTAAACTACACCAGAAGTGATTGTAAAAGTAGTCGTGATTATGATTGCAGTTCGCAGCTTATCCCGATAGTAAAATAAAAGTTACGACAATAAATGTCATAAATGCATTAATAACTATTAATAAATTTATTATAATTCACATATTTTTAACCGTTTTACTAATTAAGCATAATAATAACATTTTTAATAGTTTAATATTACACAACAATAATTGAATTTATTATAAAAGAAAGTTAATAACATGTTTTAATTTTTTAATATCACACACAAAAAATAATAAAATACATTACAATTTCAAGATATACATTACAAAATATTCATATAATGATAAATAATGATGATTACATAATAAAACACTTCTAATACAATGCAACTAAATTTTAAAGGCTGCAACAAAAGCTGGAAAAAATAGGGACTCGAGTGGATAGCAGTTACCATCCAAACTCCAGAAAAGCTCCCAATTCAACCCCTTTTAAAAAATAAAAAAATAAAATAAACTATATTCTCTTGAGATTTTTAAGCTTTAGCCCACTCATTTTGATCATCGAATAGAAAAGCTAACTTCGAGACAGTCCTAATAATTCTTTATCTAAGGCCATGATGGATAGTAACAATAATGAAATTACATCCATTCTTTTCTTATAGTTGATTTCCAAAACCATGAGACACTAACATAAAAAGAGTAGGGAATGATATCAATTTCTAATAAAAATCATAATTTACATAAAGTTAATGAGATATTCCATGTAATTAATCAATTTCAAGCATCTTATTTTCATCTTGGAAAAAAATTTGTAGAATTCTGAGTGGTTAAACAAAGTAGCTATTACCGGGAAAGGAATCGTAGGGTACCTTCAGTTGGATCAAACCCCTTCTTCCACATCTCCTCCACCCACAGCATACCCTGAACTTTTCTTCCATGCTTAAAATGGCCATGTGCCATGATGTCAAAAGTCCATCGATTAGGTTCATATCCTCTGTCACAAAGTCTATAGAACAACTCTAGAGCATGGTCCAAATCCCTTTTGGCTAGCATCCTCAGCAACAAGTTGTAAGTGTAGATGTCACGGGAGAAGTACTGTTCAATCACTTCTTCCAGGTATTCAAGACTCACTTCAAAATGACCAGAAAATGCACCAATTAGGAGGCCAAGGTTTGAAAGATCAGAAGATGTCCCATTCTGCACATCTCTTGATCGAACCCAAGCCTCATATAGCTCTTTACTCTTCAGGGAATGCAACAACAGTACATTACCAATAAAGGATGTAAGCCTATGCCGGCATTTCTTTAAGTCATTAATAATATTTATCACCACATCATAGTTTTTGGTTGAGCACAGCAGCTGTACAATAGCGTCATAACATTCCATGCCTGGAACCATTCCCTTATTCCGCATTTCCTTCAGAAAATCCAAAGCAAGACTGGTTCTTTTGACTCCACACAACCCAACAACCATGGCACTGTACAGTTTTTTACCCATCTTACTATCAGGCGTTGCTTTAAAGAAATTTAGAGCCTCAGAAATTCTTTCATTCCTCAGATAAGCCTTCAACAAAAAAATATGTGAGCAAATATTGGCCTCGATTCCATTTCTCTGCATTATCTCAAATACTTCTCTGGCTAGTTCAGGTTTCTTGCTATGCCCAGCTCCATCAATGAAGAAGTTGTAAACATTAGCATCGGATTCATGACAGGACAGTTGCATCTCCAGCAATTTGAAGAAATACATTTCTGGATTTTTCATATCACATAGACAGCAAATGACAGCTCTGAACAATTTCCGAGTTGGCTGGTGACCCTTATCCTGCATTTCAAGAAGCAGCCTAGCAGCCATATCTCCCCTATTGGACTTGTTAAAACCATAAATCAAGAGTCTGTAAGTAGCTTCTGTAGCAGCTCTATTCCTTCTGTTAAATTCCCCAAGCATCACATAAGCATCTTCAACCCTCCCAGCCCTACATAATGTTGACATGAACTTGTTGTACGTGGAATCACCGAGGGTATGATTCTTTGATAGAGCAAGAAGAACCAAGTCCATCATCATATCAAGCTTCCCTTGTCTACACAAAGCATCAGCAAGTATAGAAAATGTTTTTTTACCAGGGAAACCCCTTGCCGGATAGAATTCTTCAGTAAAGAATAAGCTTCATCAGAGGACCCTTCCCCACAAAGAGAATTGATAAGATAATTATAAGCCAAGGAATTAGGCGAGAATCCAAGCAACAAATTGGACTTGTACAACTCATATGCAACCTCTACCATTCCAGCTTTGCAAAAGAAACACAATGCAGCATTCATGGTGACAGTGTCAGTAGAAAGCTGATTCTCCTTCATCTCAATCAGCAAATCACAAGCATCCCCAAGACGGTTATCCTTCAAAAGCCTGGAAAGCAAGAAATTACACCTAAAAATGTCTGGAACATACCCTTCTAAGGAGTTCTTGCTCTTCAAGAACTCGGAAGCCGCATCAATCTCTCCAGCATGAACAAGATTCTTCAACCAAATCCCATAAGCAGGCTCCATTGCCACCAACTCCAACTTACTAATTTCCTCAATCAAACCGCTGGCCTTAACATACAAACCGTTTTGACAAAACCCATCAACTAGAACCCTCAAAGCCTGTGCATATCCAAACCTTTCACCACTTCTATCTTTGTTACCCTTACCCTCACTGACCAGCTTACGAAAATAGGCCTCCGCCTCATCCAACAATTTCTGCTGACATAAATACTTAACCTTCAAGAACCTGGTAACAGCATTCTCAAAACCCCTCAACGATATCTGCTTAAAGATAACCTCAAAAGCCTCAAGAGAATTATGTTGAATCAAAGAATTGAGAAGCACGTGATAAGAGAAAGCATCCAAATCAAGACCTTGGAAGCGCATTCTACCGAACAGTTGGAGTGCATCATCAGTCTTACCGGCAACAGCATAACCCATCACCAAAACAGTATAAAATCTAACGTTATGATGAAAATAAAGATCTCGTGTCTCACTATAACTATCTAAGAAATCAAGCATCACACTCATCCCTTCAGATTTTGACAAGATCTTAAAAAAAGCATGGAAGGTAGCACGAGTATGAAAAAAGCCTCCTTTATGACCAGCCCAATCAAAGAATTTAACGCAAGAATAAATCTCCTTTCTAGCATTACCATAAGCAAGCACATCCAACACAAATTTCTCATTCAAAGGCAGACGCAATTGCGAAAGAGCAAACCCAAGAGTGTCTTTATCTTCACCATGTTTTCTAATTGTCAGAAAAATTCGATCCAACAACTCGTTGCGTCCTTGCTCGAACCATTCTTTAATGGATGAGGCAACATTCTTTGCGATTAAACCTCTATCACGGGTGTTTGCTGCTGCTGCTGCTGCAGTTGAGTAATCATAGTAAAAGCAACAGTACAAGGATGTTGTCGTTGATGATGATGATGATGATGATGTTGAGCATGTGGGGGAGATAAGAGAGGTGCTGTTGTTTTTAAAATTGAAGAGGAGAAGGGGAAAGAGTAAACTCCTAGAAGATTTTGTTACTTGTTTGATTGATAACATTCTTTTCTTTTTGGATTTGGCGCTCTCCTTCCTTCCTTCCTTCCTTCCTACAAAACACAACACGAACCCAACTTCCAATCTTTAGACCTGTTTCTGTCTCTTGAAGTTTTAGGAAAACCTCAGGTTAGTACTACACTTATATATTTATTTTCAATTAGGTCCTAAATCTATAAATTTTATCAATCAAGTTTTAAACTTTCGAAAAATTCTTAATCAAATCTTTTTGTTAATATTCATTAATACTTTATCAAATTAATATTTTTTTAGTGCATAAATATGCACGATAGATAAAAAAATATTAATATTTATTAATTTTTTAAAATCATAAAACTACCATATTAGTTCAATCCTTTATTTATTTATTTTCATTCTTTTTTTTAGTTGTTGCTAAATAAATCTATTAATGGGTTATATTATTTAACTTAGATGTTTGATGTTATTTTATAATTGATTGGAACTTTGAAATGCTATTATTATTATTATTTTCAAAATAAAATGATATATATATATATATATATCTAATTCATGAAAAATAGTGTTTAAGAAACTAAGAATCAAAACATCATTTTTTTTATACTAAAAAATAATTCAGTTTTTCACCGAAAACCAAATCAAAAATCAAAATTTTCGATTCCAAAAACTGAACGATACTTTGATTAGGTTCAGTTTTGATTTTTGGGTGAATTTTTTTATCAAAATACCTTGAATAAAATACAGAATAATAATAATAATAATAATAATAATAATAAACTTTTAAGAATTCAAAAAATAGAATATGCAAGTAACGTGACTTTAAATAATAATAACATAATAAATGCAAATAAAATGTAGAGTTAAATTAAAAACACACACACACATATATATGTGTATCAGATTTAGCTATTTACTCATTGTTAGCCCTTCCTATATTTTACAGTGGTTAAAGTACGTCATTGCGAGTTTTTCATTGTTAATCACTTGGCACACTAACAAACGCACCCTGATCTTCCTCAAACAACAACCAGCCCAATCCAATCCATTAAGAACGATGAATAAGTTTCTGTGTGTTTTTGTGCTTGGCAGCTGACAAGTGGCTTTCCGATTTTCCTCTTCTTTGGTTTGATTTGTTATTTCTAGACACAATTGAAAAGGTTGTAAAGAACGACAGAAACTTGCAAAAAGAAAGAAAGATAAATAGAAAGAGTAGTTACACTCCTTATAGGTGAATTATAGAACCCTAGATGAGGTTCATAGTGTGGAATAGCTAATAGTTAGGAGGCCTGTTCGGACATACGGTTCCCGCGGAAGATCAAGTTGGTGAGCCGTGTGATGGGAAACCTTCCCGCACGGTTCGGAGAGCACTGAATTAGAATGAGAGGTTCTACAAGCAAGACATACAAGAACAGAGTCTCACAAGATCACTCTATGCACTTGGCATCATCTCGATACTCCTAGGCGAATAGATTCATTGCTTAACTAGTAGTCAATTATCTTTGCTACTGGATCAGTTATTGCAAAAGCCTGTAGAGTATGGTTTACACGGAAGGAAGAAAACAATGTATGTAACTCTAGCATCTAATGTAATGTAACTCTAATCTAATCATCAATCTCAACCCCTCCGCCCTTGAGATGCAAATGCTTTTCCCTCTTCTGGAACTCTGTCAAGCCCTTCCCACTTCCAGTCACCCCAACCTTGCCGTTGGGATCCTCAGGAGATTTGAAAATGCTCTCTCTCTTGCGCCCTGAGAAGAAGCCAACCTGAAAGAAAAGAAGAAATAGGCATCTTTTAAGTACAAATCATAAGATATATAAAGCGAATTATAAAAGTTACTTTTGTGATGTTTAGTCCCAAGGCAACGAAGCACCCCATGATAAAAAATTAGAATTCAACCCTGAAAATCCAGAGGTTCAATCCCATTGGGAGAGGGAAGTGGGGGTTTAAGGGAATGAGGAACGGCTTCCCTTTTATGTAGCCCAAAGCCCATTTCCAGTGTAAGGAATACAGACAAACGCCTGTGTTCTCCAATTTGCAAGTATTTACCTTCTTGGTCTTGCCTTTAGTTGTCTGGAACTGCTGCCATGCATTCTGTCGCTTATTCTGTGTAACTTCAAGTTGCTCAAAACGCATCTTTGACTTGAAAGCATGTATCTTCTTCCGCTTGGTGGCTTTCTGTAGAAAAAATAAACATTAAACCAAAAAGCTTGTGGAGAAAAAGCAATTAGCTTAACAAAAAATTTGTGGTGGAGGAGGAATAGGAGATAGAGAAATATCATATAAACCCTTTTTGCTTAGGAAAAAAATATTACATTCACGAACCCATATTACACAGGAAAGAGCAAGTTGCAGTTGCAGAAAAGCTAATCACTGAAGGCTCAAATGAGAGACAGAAGGTATTCACTTGTGGCCCAGACAGTAGGTAACATTTTGAATCCAGCCAAGCTGGAAACATGTATCCTCATTCATTTTTAAATGAAACTAACCAGATACAGAAAGCAACTAAGGATTTCAGAATGAGAAAGAAGTGATTAATCAATGCCATTTTATTGTTACAGGCACCAGTAACATTCATTCTATACGTAAGTACTACTCACCACATCCTCTGAGTCATCAGGTTCTATCCGAAGCTTTGCTGGTAAACTTCGTGACTGAAAGTCAACAGACGCAGCTTGGGCAATCTTCCTTTTGATTGCTTGTTTTGTAGCTTCAGCTACTCTTTCTGCTTCCAGTAAGGCATTGAATTCAACTGGCCTTACATTGTCAGGATCCACCTGGGTTTAGCAACTGTCAGTCACCATCCACCATCCGATTAAGAAAAAAACAGAGAAACATCATAATTGAATGCATAGGAAGAGGCAAGCAAGGAAGAATAAGTAACACATAGCAAAGAGAAAACAATCATGCAATAAAGTATGAAATAAGCCCACTGCTATGACAGAATAGTGAGATGGTTGCTTTCATGCAAAATAAGTACCAGAAAATAGTTAAAAAGAAAGAAAAAACAAGTGAATCTTGTCCACCCTTTCAAGATTTGACAGTGACCTAGATAAATGCAATATGGCTACAAGCCTAGGTCAGAAGGAGACGCATGCACAGAGTTATAACCGTGATGATGATGAATTTGAAAATGGAGTCACAGAAACCATACCTCTTCCCTATTTCCCCATCCATCAAAGGTTACATAATATCCATTTGGGGTATGAACCTCAACCGTTGCATTATACCTGAACATTTAACTAATCAAGTACAGCAAAGAAAAGAAAAATAAAACAAATGAAAATCCAAATAAAGCAGAAGGATTAAATTTTGAATCTCTTTACGTTTATCACATACCATTCCCCATCTTCACTCCATACAGCTTGAACTTTCGAACCGACAGGAAATTTCTCATGTTGATCAGCCTCCTGTTTGGGGGCAAAAAGAGGAGTTTTGTCAATGCCTGACATCTATCCATAAGAAATTATAACTGAGGAATAATTAACTATAGACTTTATTTATTTTTCTCCATTCTAATGCGCAGCCTCCCTTCATGAAAGCAAAAGGCAAGTTTCCCAACATATGCAAAATGAAAGCAGTGTAATTTACTGTTCTATTCACCTTAGGTCGAGGGTAACTAGGAGATGAACTATCTCCCATTCCAACATGTGATCCAGCAATCTCATTCTGCTTCGCAGTTTCAAGGAGTTCTTCTGTCAGAGCAATGACCTGCATCTTGACAATGTTAGCCAAGTCTAATAATATATAAAAGATATATCTAACATCATAATTCACAAATGGCTATCGTCGGTAAAATTCAAACTTAATATCTCAGTGTGAACATCACAAATCAGGTGAGGAAGGGAAGCAGGCTGGCCATCACGAGACATAGCACACCTGCAAATGAACCAAGATAGAAGTGATGGGCATCTTGATGAAGTTCTAAGCTTTTACAAAGAACTCCAATATTTTTATTCCACATAGTTCCTATTTCTGGAGCGTCTGAACTAGAGTTAGCACAAAAACAACCCTCACCTCTTTAACAGTGAAATGAAAAGAAATCTCCACAGGAGCCATTAGCAGCTAATAACTGTTGCTTGTTTTAGCAACATGTTGATTCCTTCAAAGAGAGATTAGGTAGAGACAAACAAAGAAAGGTAACTGCATCAAAAACCTAGACACTCAAATAGCAACATCTACCTAGACACCTAAATATCAACACCATCAACTGGTCTTGTGACCCACAATGATAGAGAAAAAGTTAGGTATTTCCTTGAGACAACTATCCAAACAGTACCTATAGTTCACAACCCCCAATGGGAATATAAAACCATATAAACAAAGAGTGATCATTTCTGAGGACAACTGCAAAAAAAGAAAGAACAAACTAAAAACAAGCAGTCATAAGAAAAGATCACCTCTGATAGCTCTTTCTCCATGTCCACATATTCAGAGTTTCCAGGATCATCAACCAGAAGCTGTCTGACCTGGTCCACAAGCACAAGAGAAGTTATAACCCGTAAAATGCAGCAACATATGGTGACAAACCAAGTGAAAAACTAGTGCTAACTTATCAGATAATACAGCACACATGCAAACAGAAATTATGGTGATATAATAAAGATAACGGTTCATATTAGATTGTGATGGCTAAAAGTCTACTAGAACACAACACTGCTTGACACTATCAAAACTATCCAATCACAACGAGCATTTATAAAGGATATACATGTATATCAGAAACTAGAGTTTTTTAACCAATATTAATCATGAAAAGAAAACCCATCCTTGTATCTAAGGCACAAACCACCCTCTGTTATTTTATACTTGTTATGCCCATGACAACTTGCATAAGCTTCAAATTAAATACAGCTCACTTAGGCTAATAAAGGTAACCAATCGACACTGATTCAGTTAAATAAAAAGGCATTAAAAGCATCTAAGCATGCGAAGACAGTTAAAAAAAGAAGAAGCAGGTATTATTCTTATCCATAAGAATTACAATCTAAATTCAATCTTCAATTAAAATTTTGAAGAAACAGAAACCCCTAATTCCATATTAAAAATGAATTTTTCAAAAAAATAAAAATAAAAACAATTCGATATCAAAATTCATTGCAATCCAAGACTATGAGCAAAAAGAAAATCCCAATATTAAATCAAACTTCCGATATATATAAGTAAAACCCTAATTCCACATACCCCAATTACTCCTAATTCAACAAGTAGAACCCCAAATTGACAATATAACAAAATTCCTCAACCCCCCCCCCCCCAACCAAAAAAAAAAAAAGAAAAAACTAATTGGAGGAACCCAATTCACAATAATCTAGAAAACTATCAGTAAAAAAAAAAAAATGAAAAATAAATAAAAAGAAAGGGAGAGAAAAAGAAGGAAGGAAGCACCTGGTGAAGCTGTTCTTTGTAAGTGGTGAGATTAGAAGCGAGCTCCTCTATGCTTACTTCTTCTCCTCCTCCTCCTCCTCCTCCTTGCATTTTTTTATTATTTTAATTTCAATTTCAATTTGCTTGGGTTCGATTTTATTTCTTCTTAGGGTTTGGTTTTTATTATTTTTGGAAACGATAGAGAAGGAGATTTTTTTTTTTAACACAACTGAAAAGTGAAACCCACCCAGCCAACTACTAAAGGGGACTACCAAATCGAGTTTTGCTTTTTCGTCCTGCCTTTTTCGATTCATTGCATAAACGTCCCTTTATTTGTTTTTTCAGACAACTCGTTTTTTTAAGTAAATTATAAATTAATCCCTCTCATGTAGAGAAACAAATTAATTAATCTCTCTCATTTCAAAAACTAATTATTTAATTTTTATATTTTTAATTTAGTCAATAAATTATTCTTTTTATTAGTTTTTCGTTAGATTAGTGATTAAGGGTCCTACTTCATTATTTTTTGTTTTCAAATTGTCTCCTTTTTTATGTTTTATTTCTCTCTTTCACCCAAAATTTTTCTACTTTCTCAAAATTATAAACCAAAAAAATTAAATTAAAATAATATTTTTTATGAGATATAAAAAAAAAATTTTGTTTTTTTTTTTGGAATGTTCTTGAAAAATTATAAATGAAGAAATTGAAAAAAAAATTGTCTCTAAATTAAATTTTAGACACATGTCAACTTACAAATATACTAAGTATTTTAAATTAATTATAGTTTGTTGTTTGCTAAATCAAAAGACAAGAGCTAAAAAAAAATTAAAAAAACATAATAAATCAAAATAATAATGCAGGAATAGACCACACCAAATCCATAAAATAGAAACTATAAAAAAATTTCTTCTCTTCCTTTTCCTTTGTCTTTTATATTTCTTTAAAGTTTCCATAATTATTATTTTTTAGTGGTGAAATTTGTGTGCATGCCATGTGGTATTTAACAAAATTTGTTAATTTAGAATTTTAACCAAATGTTAATATTGAGGATAAAATTGATAAAATCAATTTCTAATGTGTAATTTTGAAAAAAAAATGAGGATATGTTTTAGGAGGAATATATATAATTAAACCAAGAATCAAAGTGATACAAAATTGTATGGTGTCTTCTTGACTATAATAGTCTATGCCTTTATCCCCAAATCAAATATGGATGAAATTCTCATAACAACAATGCTTTAATTTTATTGTTTTTCTATATAGTTCATTCAAATTTGAATAAAAAGAAACATAAGAGTTGTAGGTAAATTGAAAGTTTTCCAAAGTTCCTTGCAAGAGATAAAACATATTTTCATGGACAATATTAGTATTTCGTATTATGTGATTTAGGCCAGAAACCAACATCATCATTTAGGATATTTTATTCACGAGTAAATTATAAATTAGCCTCTTTTGTTTCAAGAAACAAATTAATTAGTCTTTCTGATTTTAAAAACTAACTATTTAGTTTTTTTAATCAATGTTGATCACATCTAATTTAATATTTTTTTATTTTATAAAATATCTTTTTTGCCTCATCAATTTTTTTATTTTTTTATTTCTTAAAATAAAAAATCAAAATAAATTAAAAAATAGAAAAAATTAAAAATTAGTTTTTGAAGCCAAATAGAATAATTAATTTGTTTATCGAAGTAAGAGGGGCTAATTTATAATTTATTCTGTTACTGTGTAACTCAAACTTTTACTAGAACAAAGTCTATTATCAATCAATTTGATGTATAATCTGAATCCATAATAAATTATAAATTAATTCCTCTTGCTTTAAGAATTGAATTAATCAGTCCGCTGGTTTAAAAAACATGGATTTGTATAATATAAAACTAACCAAACTACTTAACTAATTCTTAGTGGATATCGAAGCATATACACACTAGTAAGAGATGGAGTCAAATTTAATGTTGAAAGGTACCATGTTCAAGGGCTTTTTTCCATCTTCGGGGAGCGGTGGCCACTGCCAGCCTCCTGGCTCCGCCACTGCCTAGGACCGATCTTGTAAGGAGTTCTTCTATATCTAGCACTTCTCTGTAATGACTAGCTTCCTGTCACCTGTGTATTATAAATACTTTGATCATTCCAACACTTGGTACCATATTCCAAGCTTGATATACATGCACTAACTCTATCCTTTAAACGAATCACACATCTTCGAGAGCAAAATCATTAACTGATTCATAATTTGAGTTTAAGCTTCATTTTATGTTTTCATAAGTTTTTTTTTCACATTTAAATTATGTATTTTTTTTAATTTTTTTAATTGAAACTCATCCAAATTTCTTATTTCAGACTTTTCATTATAATAATATTTTTATTTTTTAATTTTTTTATTTTATAATGTCACATGTCAACCTTGATTGACAACGTTATAATAAAAAATCTCTATAAAAAAAAATTCAAAAATACAGGATTCCACATGAAATAAACTCATTTTCAACACTAATTTGTTACTTGTTAGCTTCGCCTATCTTATGATTTTCCAACTCTAATTTGTTACTTGTTAGCCACACCTTCGCTATCTTATGAGTGCTTGATTCGTAAATTGAGTTTAAGCTTCATCTTGCGTTTTCTACTCTAATGGGGTTTGTTACTTGTTTTCTTCACCTATATTATGAGATTACGATAAACAAACAAGCTATGTTCAAGTGGACAAAGAAAGGGAGCAACCACCATTTTTCATTTCTCTTCCCTTGTCTCCTCCATTTAATTGTAATTTTAATTTTATATAGTACTTATACTGTCGCACGAACAAAAGAAAGAGTGCAGCCACCTGTTGTTCAACCACTGAATAGAATGACTCTTAATAGGAACAAACCCTAGCTCCTGGAAGAAACCAAACATGTATTAATCATTAATTTAAATAAAATTTCTTTTTTTTTTTTTTCAAGAGAAGATTTGCCGTTGCAAGGCAAAAACAGTTCTCCGTCTCAAATATTGAAGTCAGATTCCATCAACCACATCACTCACCAAGTACAACCAACTGTGTACTCTCTCACATTGGCTTCCAATGGGAAAACAATGTTTCCATTTTTTACCCTTTCAATGAGGCTAATTTTAAAGATGAGAGAACGAACCAAATTCAATACCCTATACATAAAAAATTCATTACAGTTTTTTGTATGCTGGGGACTTGAAAAATGAGACTTTCCCATGATTCTACCAAAACTTAGGATTCCATTATACATCCATCTCAAGCTAACAACTCACCATTTTCTTTTAACCCAGAAGCGCTTGGACTGCAGGCATCAAATATTTTCACATCCCCTATCGACAACTTCAATTACCACCACTGGATAGCAATGAAACATGTTCCATCATTCATTTCGGATCGAATAATACTTGTCCCAGAGGGTTGGAGATTTTGAAATTTCACTCATAAGATGTTTGAATTTATGGCTGCAATCTCCTCCGCTGCAAAATGAGAAAGCAATGATCAAGCAACAGCAAAAGAGAGAGTATTTCATTCAGCTCATTTCACGTTTCCATTGTTCTGCTAGAAATATAAAACAAGAAACAATTTTATCCAATCAGCGCAGATATGGCTTAACTTGTTTTCTACCTTCAGATGAAAGCATTGAAGTCAGCTTTTACCAGCCAATTAGGCCAAACTATCTATAATTTTAGCAGAAGAGCAAATAACTTCAATTTGTACAGTATAAAATTCACAAACCTTATACGATTCAAGGATGCAATTGCTCGAAGAGCGCTGCGAATCATGTCTTCATTACGATCGACTTCTTGCTTTACAGCATCTTGCTTAGGCTTAAAATTGACAGTTTTTTGAAGGGGGTCCACCAATGAGTCCAACACTGCAGTTTGCAATTAAGAGATCAGAAAATCTGTAGCACAGAGAAACCAGCAGACTAAAGTTGGCTGATTAACTCACTGACCTGCCAATACAGCAGATTGACACTTATCGGCCAGTTTTGAGAGGATAAGATGGCAAGGCATTTTAACATCATAATGATCTGGAAGATCAAAGACAGACAAGTCAGCCAATAGTTGATAAAATCAATGATAGCCATCATGTTATACTCCATTCTTCACAGACATCATTAGCTAACTGAATCTAGTTATTGATATCGAATAATCATTTGAAAGTAATCTCGCCATCATGCTGAAGAACAACTGATGAAACAATCATATTTCACGATAGCTAAGAGAATAAAGAAATCAAGGGTAGTATTCTTCTCAAAAGTAGTCTTTCTGAAAAATAAAAAATAAAATTCGTATGTACTAGGATTTTATCATTAGTTATGATACAAATTGATGTTGCCAATTTAACAGTTTCTTTCCTAGTTACAAAAAAACCCAAACAAGTATGAAATGTTGTAACCCAATGCAGCTACAGAGAGAAATTTAGTAATTAATTTCATTTCTCTCTTGATTCTGAAAAAGATGAAAATAGGAAAAGGAAATCATAACAGCAGAAAACTTCTGATTAATATTCTTATTTCTAGATAAATTAGATCCTAAACAGAATTAAGATTGTTAAGATTGATTGAATCCTTATATACAAAGGCTTAAGGAAAAAAAAAAAAAAAAGAAAGAAGAAATCAGACTTAATATATAAATTAATATAATTCCTAATCCTTGTATCTCTTTTTGTTTGGCTGCATCACTCAACATCACTTTACATGCATAAAACCAGACCAAATGAGTCACAAAATTAAATAACCATACAAAAAACAAGTGGCCTTGAGGAGGAGGATATTGAAAATTTACCATCCAGGCCTGATTTTAGGTAAGGAACAATGAAAGATGAAGGGTTCACTTGATCAAGACAACTGTCCAGCAATGTGTCTACACATTCAAAAGCTGCTTTCCTCAACTCAAGGCCATCATCCACAATATGCTTGAAAGGCCCAAGATCTACTGTTCGGATCAATTCTTGCTGCAGTAAGCAGGACATAAAAATCAGAAAATCTGACAGATCTAATATGGGTGATACTGTATATAATAGCCAGCAAGACAAAAAAGAAGTTGGAAAAACAGCAACATTGTAAATGACTAGAATATTACTTTCACAAAATATAATACAGAAAAATGGTTTTTAAAAAACAGCTAAAATCACAGCCTTGGTGCTGCAGACAATCGTAGATGTTCCATAACTGTGACAATAATGTAGCATTTGGACAATCCAAAAACGATCGACAATAAAATTGCAATTGTAGTCATCAATGTACACACAGCAGAAACAAAGAGATCTTAACAATGCGCTGCAAAACATAGTTTCAACTAACAACCGTTATATAACATAACAGCTGTTATTTAACAGAACTGGGGCGCTCTTTATTGTTTGGCATTATAGTACCATTGCTAGCAAATCATAGCCATAATGCCTTTATATTAAGAATAATGGGTCTAATGATATCTTATTTACAAAATTGATTTTTTGTATTTTAAGTTCATGCTTTCATATTTTTTACTTTTTTGATAGTTATAATATTTTGTTTATATGTTTTTACCTACTAGAAGTGTTATTATTCTATATGTTTAGCAGATTTATGAAAAATACATGTATTAATTAAAGTTTTTCAAGAATTACTAATTTGTTCATGACATGACAATGATAGCTACAAGTGATATTTAACAACTGCGATGCAATCGTGATCATGACTGTTAAAACTGTGCTGCAAAAGAGATGGCAGGTTTTTTAAGTTTAAAGTCTGCATTGTTTATGCAATGTGACAACTACAACATAACATGCTATAACAGCTGTTATAGAAAAAACGAACACAAAATGCTACACCTCATAATAAAAGGGGATGGAATATAAAGGGCCCTTGAAAATCAGTTATGTAGTAACATAGCAGCCATTATTTTAAAACTCAGTTGCAGAACTCGAAAAAAGCACAGCTCAATATTTTATTTTTTATCTTTTTGGTTTGGGTTGTGTGTGTGGGTCCTTGCAAATCAGTTATGTTGCAACTAAGCAGCCATTATTTTAAAATTCAGTAGAAGAACTCCAAAAAAGCACAGCTCAATATTTTGTTTTTCATCTTTTTGGTTTGGGTTGGGTGTGTGCATGTGGGCCCTTGAAAATCAGTTATGTAACAACATAGCACAGCTCAATATTTAATTTTTTATCTTTTTGGTTTGGGTTGCCTGTTGGGAATTTGGGGTTAGGGGATTATGAGGCGGTGGTGTTGGGGGTGGATCCACAAAACAAAGCATAAAAAGCAAGAAAGTGGCCACACAGGATACTGATGACAATGAATAAACAATGTTTCAACAATCCATTCAATTAAAGAGCCCAGTTGTCATCCATGCCACACAAGCTGAGAATCCTTTCATCCTGAAAGGTCAATTCACTTCTGCATCTCCTTAATTTGTCGTTTCTCATCAATAGCAGCACATAGAGTGCCCCATGCTTTTATCCACTTTATGCTTTTTTATTTTGTGATGATCTTTCGATCAGCGTTAATATAATCATCATATATTGTTATAATGGCTTAAGCCATAAGGAATCAAACAACCAAATTTATTGTATTTTTTTAACAAGCATCGTCTTGCAGTTACAATGCTGCATATTTAGACTCCTTGAAATGTATTTATAGTAACTTGATTAACTAAGCAGAATTAAAATAAAAAATTCTGGGCCTCAAGAATATATGCCCTTATGAACTGATCTAAGTTCATCTCAATCAATCATTCTATGGAAGCACACTGGAGTCCTAGTATGTATAATCCTAGGCTCAACACAAAAGCCCTTCTTTCAAGTAAAACACTGACTCTGCTCACAAATATGCTGCCAGCATGGACACTAAACAGATATATTCAAAAACCTATTTCCAACATTTCAATATAAAGACTAACTAATACAGACTCCCAGCAGTGCAAAAAACAAATTAGAAGCAAAAACATTGAAAACAAAGAAGAATTATAAATTACTAGAGCACTGAAATCATAAGCAGTGCATACGATCCTCAGCACCATGCTAAAACAAACATAATTCAATGGGATAGAAAGCTATTACTAAAAAAGGCTGGACAAGTTAAAAAGCTCAAGCAATATTCCACTGTTGACACTATTTAGACAAGCAGCAACTGGGAGTTACTTCATTAGCTCAGAAAATAACAAGTTTTAATTACCTTAACAATTGTTTGATCATAGAGAAGTGGCAATAATTCAGGAAGGAGTCCCTTAATAAGGTTAGGCTTATTGTGAGCGAATGTGCTTAAGGCCAAGACAGCTGCACGCCTAACATGCTGCATGCCACATTGAAGAATAATCATTAGGTTCAAAAACCAAACGGCCACCACAAGCAAAGAGGGTGTTTATTAATTTAAGGAACTTACCCTGTCATGATCCTTGATAAGCATAAGAAAAGATGAGATTTCAGGATATATAATCTCGTCAATCTTCTCTGGTCGCTCAACTATCGAGTATTTTACAGCAATTACTACTGTTGCTCTGGTGAAGGCAGCTGGGCTCGTTGTTCTCACCTGTAAGGAATTTTGGATACAAAAGTGAAACACAAGCCTTGGAGCCACAAAAGCTAAGAACAAACTTAAAGGAAACCCAGAATGCCATTCGATTTGCTAGACACCTTAAGCGCAGGAACAAGTTTTGCAGGTTCAATAAGTGCAATTTTACCGAGGCACTCAGCGACAACATTCCGGACACCCTCTTCGTCACTTTCACAGTGGTTAAATAGTAATTTAAGTATCTTCTCAACACTTGAATCCTGAAACTCTGCTTTATCCACCGACTGCCTTACTATAACCTGCATATTAGGGAGGTTAGAAAAAGAGGGGGATATAGTTTGGAAAAATAACCTTTAGTTTGATATAGATTTATGATATATTAAAAAAAAAACCAAAAAAAAAAAAAAAAAGGAAACAAACAAACAAACCTCCTTCAGAGAATGAAGCAGGAGATACTGTTTCTTCTGTTGATTATCAATCTGGTCCAAGATAAAGGGTAGGTACTTGGAAAGATTACCAACAGCAATATTGCCAAGAGCATAAGAAGCAGCAGACTTTATCTCTTCGAATGGGGATTGGAAGGACTCAATAATAATGGTTTCTATATTTGCATGCAAGCTTAGATCTTTCCTTCTCCCAATTTCTCCCAGGCATAACAGTGCAAGGTGCTGCTTAGCCTAGAAAAGAATAAAACAGTTATGAAATGCACAATTCAAATATTTCTATAGAAAAGGTATTATCAATACAAAGAGCATGTTACTTGTTAGAAAATTTTACGAGTAGAAAACTTACCGAATTGGTACTGCTGTCATCTTTAAGAATCTCAGTGAGCATGTCCACAGTAGATGAACATTTTTGGTCCCCTGCAGCAAGACAGAGAACAGCCACACATTGGGCTATTGAATGCAAAGCCTGTTTTGCAACACCTCCTGACTGTGGAGCTGGCTTAGCACTTGAAAGAAGCGAATCCAGTAAAGTGTCAAAACTTGTATTTGCAGAATAGACTAAAGCAGCAAAAAAATTCCGTAAGGCCTGCAGTATCAAGCAGATTAGTTTAAAACCAGGCATTAATTTGGACCAGAAGTAATATTTGGTATCAGAAGAGAATGTTACCAAAAGGGCTTGACCCTGTAGCAATGGGCTTTTAATTAATGTTAGTGCCTGAGGAAGAACTTTACTTCTAACAGCCAAACCAATATTCGGGCTCGATTTCCTGTCTGCCATCAAGGTGCAGCAAAGTTCCAGGGCAAGAGCTGCCATGTGCAAATCTGAATCACTGACACAGGCAAAACAAGAGAATTAACATTTTGAATGTAATCACAGCCAATAACCATTCCCTGCTTCAAGAAGCCACAAAAGCATAACGTCAAAATGTGTTGAAAACCTTATCAGAGTTGAAAGTTCCACAATAATAACTTCATAGGCAGATGAACCAATTTTGTCACCATAAGCTACAATCAGAGAATTCAGTGTCCCCAAAGTTGCCTGCCTTAAAGCCCGATTAGCCTGTGTTCCAAAACAATAAAGCAGAGTTCAGAATGTACACACATATACTCAAATGCACATTAGCCTATCAACAAATCATCAATCCAATATATTGGTATGCATATTGTAGAGGAAACAAACTTTCATACCTTTCGTAGGAATGCTGTCAACTCAGCAATGACACTCTCCAGGATGCATGACAGATCAATCCGAAGAGGAGAAGTCGCAATTACAGCTAAAGACTGAATCCAGAAATTCAAAATGGCTTGAGTAATCATGCATTATTGTGATCACAGATAATACATTATAACTTCAGATGGGAAGGCCTAACCAAATTGTCCCCACAGCACAAGACTGGTGCCAAAAAAAAAAAAAAAAAAACCCATGAAATATAAACAATCATATGGCAATCTATACAACACTGACCTTCACGGCAGTAAGTCGTGTTATCTCATTCCCCATGCGATCAACAAGTACAGGGAGGCACACAGGTAATTCTGTCTTGAGATTATCGCCAAATGTAGAAATGACAAGCCCCATGCAAGAAATGGCACACTCCTTAACTTCCTGGATAAGAAGAAATATGCCACATTACAAGACAATACAGAAATGTTAAAAGAGATTTTCAGCATGAAAGAAAAATGCAGAATTAACTCTATGGACCTGGTCTTGATCTTGGTTTGTCAAGCGTGACATTATGGCATTATATATTGGACGAACATAAGGTTTGAAGTCAAAACCAAAGCCCTACATCAGAACACCAATTAAGTTTTCAGAAATGGTCTATCAAAATCTTGCAAGATGACAACATATAAAAATAATCTAACCTGGACGTTGGGACGGACGACACGAACAAGTTCCCCACATACTCTTAATGCCTCTGCTGTGACCTTGTAGTATCTCTCCCCAACAGCAGATAATACAGGACTAGAAAGGGCCTGCAATAAGAAGCAACATAAATACCAGTAATCATATCGCTCAGAAGTTATGATTGCTGTTCACTCATAGAGACTGTTGTTCAAAGGAATCAACCCAAAAGAGAGAAGTTTAAAATTCAATGGAATACAAGTAGGAATGTAAAATTTGTACATGCATTCACAATGCAGACTAAGGGAAGCAAGAAATAAGAGAACAAATAGGAAACTGTGCATGCCAATAAAAAATAAAAAGGAAAAATGATAAATCACAATTTCCATAAACAATCAAAACTCATCTTGACGATGATGAGTTGTTATTACGATTTCCATGAACAATTGAGCTGTTACGTCAAATCGTAATCATGTTGTTGTTTTCAGGGGGAACAAGCATTACCCCCAATGAATCCTATTAAAAGAGGGAAGTAAAGATATCCACAATGCAGCAATGACCTACAAAGTTTTTCCGGAGTTTAACCACTTAACAAAAAATCAAATATCATCAAGCCATACAAGAGAGAGAATACTCAAAAAACAAAGGCTGAACATATTATCTTTTGGCACTTTAAGTTTATAGCCAATAGAACATTGCATAAGAGAATACTGGCTAGCAAAAAGGTTAAAAATGAACTTAAGGATACTTGATTATTAAGAAAGTACAATAAGAGGTTTCAAATTCCAGAATAAAACTATTTGTTACCTTGATATAAGGGTGGAAAACAGGAGGTGAATGTGAAGCCAATACCAATCTTGTAAATATAAGAGTCTCAATCTTCAAATTTGAGGTTGAAGATTTGTCCTGAGGAATATTGTACGGGAAAATTTGCATCAATTAAGGATAGAAAGTGTGAAGGAAACAATTAAGCACCAACAATACACATCTGACTCGAGGCAAAATCCACTTACATTTAATGCCTTCTCGATTCCTGGAATAAGCGACCCAATGTGTTCTGCAAGGCAGTCTGGCAAAACAACCACAAGTTCTTTCAACACTGAAAATGCACCAACCTGCAGGCAGACAATTTTATTTTGCAACGTGTGGGTATAATTTATCTATAAGATGGCATACGATTTTTTAGCTTGCAACCCTTAATCCATGGCGCACATCAGCTCTTACCTTAGTCTTGATAGATTTCTCACGCAGTTGCCTATTTATAGATTTGACAATCTTTGGCACTTCTTGCTTCAGCAACCATCGTGGGCTGCATAATATTAACACTTGCAAAATTAATTCACTGGGAGACCAAGCTCCTGAAGCAATAAACTAATTGCAGACAGCAATTCTGAGGACCAAGAACCCATGTTTTAACACTTTGCCAACTTGTTTTGTACTATAGTTTACCACTTTCAGGCACTATGATTTTGTCTCTTTTGTGATGGTATAGGTGATGTGGACGACAAAAGACTAAGATTTTCGTGTTTTATTTAAATTTTAGAATGCAAGGGTATTTTAGTAATTTTGAGGTTTGCTGGAAAATCTTGAAATTTTCTAATTCAAGGTTTTATTTTCTATTTAGGATTTTATTAGTCCTAAGGAGTAATTAGCTTTATTAGGTTTTTTCTATTCTACATAGACTTAGTATTTTCTTCTTTAGGAATCTAAGTCGTAATTGGATTTGGACTACTAGAACTCTATAAATAAGCATTTAGTATTTCAATATTTGAATGACAGTTTATGAATAAAATTCCAGCAATTTGCTTTTGATTGTGTGACTCACTCTCCCTTAGGTGTGACTTCTAAGAACCCTAGGTGTGAAGCATAGGTTTTTCTATCCTCTAGGTGTGACTCCTAGAAACCCTATTAGTGCGACTCTAATAGTTCTACAATTCCCAGTATAACTCCACTTTAATACAACCCAGTACAGCCCAAAACAGCCTCCAAAGTCAGATCAAGAACAGCTGTCAAAGCTGTCTAGCATCCAAAGGGTACCAACATTCATTAGGCTTAAGAAAAAAGACTAGATAAAGAATCCCATACTCTAAGGGACTAACTCTGATAACCAGTCTCAATGTAGTAGTGGCAGAGAAAGGTTGTGGTTAACAGTACAGCCATTAACGTCAATGAAACTCCACTTGGTTTCTTGACAAGCTCTTGAAGTTGATTTAAAAGCAATGTCCCTGCTCTAAAAATGTTTCAAAACCAAGACGTTTACTCAAATCAAAGAATTGAAACACAAGGTAAGCAAAAAGAAAGTATAAGAAAATGCTTAAGACATTTACCAGGTTGAATTCAAACAAATGATTTTAACATAAGGTAAAGTTTCCACCATAACAAGATAGAAACTTGCCTTGATTCATCCAAGTCAATCTGCCCTTTTGTAACATTTCCAGTTTGACGTAGTAGCTCAATGAATGTATTGAACACATCCATCTGCATTACAACAAACTCGGATGAGCACTCAGATGCAGTGCCCGAATTTCTGCAATTAATAGATCAAGGCTTACCTTGACATTTTCTTCCCTTTCTTTAAATCTATCAATCAATTTAGGACAGGCCTGTACAGAGAAAAAAATGGATGTTTAACAATTTTCTTTTTAGGGTATGTTTAGCAAGTTGCAATAGAATAAAGAAGTTAAAAACCATTTTCATCAACAAATCAATGAATAGTATATCACATCAAAAATGAAAAAAAATAGTGCGAGTCGCCCAACTAAAAGCTTGAGTCCAAATTCAAACATATTAAGAAATCACTTTACATGTGCCCAAATTATTGCAGCATACCTCCTCATATAGTTTTGCAAGCACCTCAGGACGAGAAACAATTAATGCCGCTAAGCATTTAGCAGCTGCCCTTCGAACTTTCCAGCTGACATCTTCATCATCGGTATATTCATTTGCACTCTCACTACAAACAACAAAGAGATTGATGAGATAAATTACAAGTTCAGGAAGCACATTGATATGAATTACAGATATGCATTTTTCAAGACATACTCATCCTCCTCCTCCTCATGACTCTCGTCATCAGTATCTTCTTCCATGTTATCAGTAAAGTTTGGATCGTAACTTAGGTACTCCAGAGTAAGATGAAGAATTTCATCACAGTAAGAATAAATGTCTCTAGGGCATCTGAGCAGAAAACTTTCTAGTGCCTGTACAGCCAAAATTTTGAGGACACAACCAGAAGGCAAGATCAAAGACAAGCAAATGATTAGAACCATAAGAGTAATAAAACGACGGGTACATATACTGCACCTGCAAGCTATATTCACGAAGCTCCTCATCGTTTTCCGATGCACTTGTGCAGTAATTAATTAGCACTGGCACAGTATCTCCAAGATGGGGTCCAAATCGATATCCCACAGCACGGCTTAAACACCAAAGCATCACACAATTTGTAAGCATAAACAGTTATACTTATAAGAATGAGTAGATAGTGGATCAGGTTGTGATCAAAATCCCAAAAAAGCCCTTTCCTACATTTAAAGTTCCAAGTCTACACAGAGATATACATAAGCATGCCAGAGTCCACACATTCAGACTACAAATCTTGTTATCAAACCAGCAGAAATGTTGCAGTGCCAATGGTTTAACCTCAACAATACAAAGAGTAACTTTTTATCCTCAGCTATCAAAATCTTCTCTAATAGCAAACACAGGAAAGCGAATGCACTATACGCTAAACACATACAGTATAGCTTTACCTTAAAGCACCAATCATTTGAATGTTTGTTCGGATGATCTCAGGTTTTGCATCCTTACTTCTCAATTTCCGAACTACCTCAACTGTTGCCTTCCCCAATAAATCATCTGACAAGCTTGAAGCAAGAGATGCTGAACACCAAAGAGTAATTTAAGCTAAATCAACAATCTTGTGGGTGGAAAATTATCAAATTAAACTTAATGAAGTTGTAAATTATCCGGAATTAAGGAAAACTCATAGAGACAGCATGTTTGAAGGAATCTTCCATCTTAATTTCAGGTAAAAACAACTTATCAAAATGAAGATTAGTATTGAACAAAAATATCACCCTTCTCAAGTACATATCTGGTTTGATGTCTCACTATGCAACTGCTACTAAGTTATATGCATAAAAACCCACTGTTACCAGGAGGGAGGGTAGGAGGGAGGGAAAGAGACAGCAGAACACTTAAGTTTGGCCATGCCTAATAGATGGGAACTAGCCAAATTTCCAACTGGTCTGATATTTCTGTTCAGGATCCAGAGCATAAATCTTTTTGTTTCCCCCATGAGTGAATCAAGCATATCTTCAATTCAATCAAAATAACAGTATCGCAAGGGAAATCGATAACGAGTATCAACTCAGTCTTACCAATGCATGAAACAGTCTTCTTTCTAACGGTGGCTTGATTGGAATTCAATTGAGACAAAAGCGAGTTTAAAAGCAGCTCATGATCATTCGCTATCAAATTTCCAAATTTATGAAGAACGTCACATAAAATATCAAGACATTCACATTTTATCTCTGTGCTCATTCCCTGAGGCAGAAAAGAATGCAAAAAGAAGTTACGGAGAAGAGGAAAAGAAACTTCCAAATGACAAGACCTTGACACATTGCATTTAGAACTCACCGGACTTGTTATTCCTTTTATCAACTGTGGAGATAGAGTGACAAGAATAGATTGAGCTAGAGATGTTGCTGTGACTTCAGATACAATAGTCTTCAAAGCAATGCTTGCAATGTCACGATGCTGATCTTTACCATGTAGCAATTTCTCACATAGTTTATTAGTCATTTCCACAACTCGAGCCTCAGTGACCTTCTTCACCAATGGAGCAAGACTGCAACACCACATTAATAAAAAGAATTAAAATCAAGCTTGCAGCAACACTGTCACTTAGCATCTCTTTCATCTTCCGTCTGGTTGTTCACACTCAAATACTAAATGTATGCATATGAAGCATCCACATGACACCAACTGTGCCAAGTTGAGTTCCTCATAAGTTAAAATGTCCATGTTATATAAATGAAGAGAAAACAAGCACCAAAACAAAACACAGGAAACAGGAAGCAAGGGTTCCCTGAGGTAACTTTTTAACACTATTGACACAAGACCTCCATAATCTTGTCCAAGTACGAGTTGGAAATTTAAATAGCAACTCTTAAATACTAAATCAATATTTTTGCATATTTGAAATGCTAAAGTATACTTATGCATTAATTAGCAGAGAGTATGCACCACTATTTTGTAATCTACACTCTGCAGGATATACAATATCAAGGACCAAAGGCTTGACATGCGGAAATATATTGACAATAGTGAAATATCGGAAAAATTCCTGGAGATTTTTGGATGGATTCAGCCAAGAACACAAAATACACAAATGTCATAATGTTTATAGCAATCGCAGAGAGAGCTATACCACTTCACAGCCAATCCAGAAACATCACCAGCTACATCATCGAGTTGTTGTAGAACAATATTTGACAATTTTATCTCCAAATCAGTATCAGCTTTAAATCCCTCCTTGTTTAACTCGTTCAACAAATCAGATGTTGCCATGTATCTGTAATCTTTATCCTTACCCGTCATCTACAAACAAAGCCAAACAGATAAAAAAAATATAAATACAATTAGCTTTCGCCAACTGCAAGACCCAAATGAACCATCCCACAAAATCTGCAACACCAGCCATACAAACACAAAGTTCATCAACTCAATAACAGATAAAACAAAAACCATACCTTTTCCAGAATACCCGTCATTTGTAAATTCGCCATCTTCGCACAACTATAAGACCAACACTCAGACCAATGCTGTGTAATATCACAACCTAAGAACAACAAAGAAAGCAAAAGATAAAGCAACTGCATAACCACACAATACAAAAGATGAGCTAATATTTAACACGCTATAAACACTAATTTTTTTTTAAATGAAACCAATTAATCATACAATGTCTTAATTCCATAATCCTACATAATTTGAAACAAAAACAATTGAAGAAGAAGCAAAATTACAATATTGACAGAGCAAAAAGGGCAAACATCCAAAAAACCCAGGAGAAAAGGAACAATGTAGTACATTAGCAAGCAAAACCCTAAGCTAACTAGCTAAAAACCACTGTTTTGTATTACTACATTGTATTAACAGCCGAAACCCTAAATAATTGAGTGTGATCACTGTGATACAATAAAAACCCTAGAAACCGAGAGTGAGAGTCACCCACCCTGCACTGAAATCGAAAGCAAATTGTAGAAAAGAAAAGAGCGATAATCAAACTAAGAAAAACTCGAAGCATACCGAAAGAGAGAGATTAGCAGAGCAGATTTTGATTATGAAATTGAAATGTACTTTCTTTTTTTTTTTGGTGCTCTTGTTTTTATAGTACCCTTTCTTTGCCTCCACTTTTGGGCTAAAACCTTATATCTATAGACTGCACAGTCGCGGCCCAGAGGGAATTAGAGATTGTGAGTGAAGGCAGGTTGACCTCTCCTTCGCCATCGTCCACTCACATTCTTGATGTTAATTCTTAATTATGGATTTAAGCATGCTCGATGCGTCATAACACAGTCTAGAGTAACCCCAACGGCTTGGTTATTTAAGAGATTTGCTTTTTTTTAAAAAAAAAAAAAATTAGATTAAAAAATTTAATCAGCATCTTAAAAAAAAATATTAAAATAAAGCTAACGTGGAGAGTGGTTAATTGTAATTACCAGAAGAAAATCTCAATCTCCATTGATGTACAAGTTATTCGGAGCATATTCTGATTGTCAAATAAAATAAAAAAATACTCCAAAAGAAACTCGTGAAAATGTATTGGGTCTATATTAGAAACAAATACAATTTTATATCATATCGTATGTGTTAAGGATATGATAAAAATTAAATTAAATTTCAATGTGCACGGGACATGACATGATAAGATGAGGATGCATTTAGGAGATAAATTATTACACCAACTTCTTCCACTTTCCAAGGCCATGGGCAAAAACAATAGAATTATTACAATTAATTAAATTATCCAAATCGTTTTGTTTAGTAAATCGCATTTAAAATGTGATTTTTTTCATATTTAATAGCACATTTACAATTATAGTATGAAATAATTAATAATGCATTTATTATAAAATGATGTGAACAAATTTAGTGATTTATAAAATTTTATTGGTTTGGTCCATGATTTTAGGTGTTCGATAGAAAATATGTTTCGATGTTATATATATATATATATTAAGTTTTATGAGTTTAAAAAAAAATCAAACATTTAACTAACAATAACTTTACTTCAGCATTTTTTTACTTATAAGTTTTTAAAACAATAAGAATTAATGCAATTTCATAATCAATGGTACGATCATATTCTTATGTAAGATTTTTTTGAACGGAAAACCTAAACATTATTTTTAACAAAACAAGACATCATAATTTCCATATTAAGAAATTATTTATTTTTGTCTCGAATAACACATAAAAAAAAATGAGAAGCATTAATTAATTTTTTGTCATCCAAATTCATTTATAACTGTAAAAAAAATATTCATAAAAAAATAAAATATATTATATACTTTTTAAAATATTATAATACCTTTTATTTTAGTTTTAAGATAGAAATTTTCTAAATCAATTTTAATCGATTAAAAAAAAAAAAACAGTGATACCAAGTAGGAAAAAAATGCTATAAAAATTATACAAAATTTAGCTACAATATTATAATTATAATATAATGACTACGGCAACACAACAATAACAGGATTACGATAATATAGTCAAATCAATAAATAACTGATTATACGGCAGATTATATCAGCCTTGCAACTAGCATCCGACTACTAAAATAATAAAATGAATCACGTTGTAACCTTCTTATTTCTCAAGTAATTCACATTGCATGATGTAACCAGGGACAAATCCATACTTAGCAAAGTAAAGGGACCAGGACGTATCATTCATTTTGCGTGGGGGGCATTTCATAACAGTTCCGGATATATTTTTATAAATTCAGGGGTGATTTGGAAAATCTACCCCCACCTAAAACTCGTCCCTGTAGTTCCATGGTGCTGCCTATGTGACCTTACAAAGCCCAGTATCAATGTTTTTGTCATAAACTTGGAAGTCATTTTCAACTTTTTCCATAATATAATTCTGAAGGCCTCAGGTTTCTTTACCATCATCTCTAAGCTAATAGAGCTCATTTCAGTTTCCGGTTTCCATAGCTTTCGGTAGGTACAACTCGAGGCCAAATCCGGCCAACATCAACCATTACCACATGCTTTTAGTTCTAGACGACCAAATCTGCTGAATAAGGATCCATCATCCCACCAATTCTTTCCCCGCGCTCCGGAAGAACAATCCGCCACGGCAGGGTTTGCGACCATCTCCCTTCAGTAGTCAGGAAGTGAATAATAATATGAAACAAGAACTCGAGAGAACTTCCATTTACCATACTGTAATTTTTACATATAGGCATTATGTACACATGCTGAATAAATTAATTACATGCTCAAGGCCCTTGACCGAAGCTTCGGTTCACCCTGCATTTCTCCCTGGGCAACCCTACCACCTATCCCCTGCAAGGCAAAGTTTAATTTGTAAGTTATTCAAAACATCAGGAAGTACTCCTGAAAAACATTTTAAAAAAGAAACTGAATTCAACAAAAATGTAGTATCATCAGCTTAAAAGATTCATTGCTATATATGGTTCAACACCAATGCAGGACTAAACTAATTTTCAAAAAGGACTTCTGCATTAGCTCCTCTTTCCTCTCATTTTCTTTCCATTGGGGTTCACACCATCCAAAAACTTGGAGAGAAATTAGGATCTCTCGTTATATTCCTCTAATTTCATTCCCTTTCTTTCCCTCCCTATTCTCCCCTCTCAAACAGTAACTGATAAAAGCTTGTTCGTTTCACTGACAACAGTCATATTGATGAACACTAGGGCCTGATCTCTAAGGCAAAAAAACCAGTCTCATCTGGGGAGTTCCATACTGAAATTAAACTTTTATGACATCTTTACAGTGTCTGAAGATGTGGAAAACCGATGAACATGATGCATGGGAGATATCAAGGGTAGAGGAAAACCTAGTTTGGCATGTGGGGGCATAAGAATAGCATGCCAAACCGACAAGAATGTTAAAAAACAGACATCAAGGTTAGAAGAACAGCCTAGATTGACAAATAGGGTCATGAGAATGGTGCCATAAACTACTTTACCTTTGTCTCCTGCAATTTATGCTCCAATGCACCGTCTCCATGGAGAATTTTTGCTCCACATCCTGGTGTATCCATCAAGCCAACAGCCTCTTCATCGACCAAAACAGCAGTTATGCAATTAGAATGTGACTTGTTTTCTGGAATCTGTGCAGCGAGAGGATGAGTGTCAGGAATCGAAGTAGGTACCTTAATTTTGCTTCCCTATTTTTACTTTTACTACTTTTATTTTGTAACTTAACCAGTTTCATCAAAAAGTTGCTCCCTTAACTCATTGCAAATACTGATATGTTGTCAATCACAACTTTCTGAAAAAAATAGAACAAACAAGCACTACCAATCATTTCACCTTTTGTATCAAAGACACAAGGTCTACGAACTCTCTTTCAGAAGGAAAGTGAGTAGTAAACTTAACTGGTGAAGCAGCAATAAACAACATCCTAGGAAGTGCAATAAAAATAAAGGTGAATCAAACTTCGACGATAATCAGATCGAGTGAGTTATCAATGTATACCTCAAACATTGCTTCTGTAAGAATGTTTTCTAATATGGCTCTTAAACCTCGGGCCCCAGTGTTCTTTGCCATTGCTTTCTTCGCAATCAATCTCAATGCATTCTCTGTAAAATGTAATTTGACCTGAAGTATTATCGGCATAACAAGTTACTACTCTTTTGATAAAATATAACAACTTACTACTTACAAGGCTTGTCTCGTCAACATAAATCTCTAGGAAAGAAAGGACACAAGCTTACATTGTTCATATTGAACATCTTCTTATACTGTTTACCAAGAGCATTTTTCGGCTCCATGAGGACCTATAGCACAAAAATCATCCACATCATTGTAATTGGCAAAATGAAAACTTTTGGAAGACAGTGAAATAGAATCGTTAATTTCAAAGTTCAAGGTTTTAGCGCTTGTTGCATGCTAAATAAAATACTATCATCTACATATAAGTGAATGAGGAAACAGAAGAAGATGTTCAAAGAAAACTTGAGTGCCAAATGAAACCAAAAGAAAGCCAATTCAGTTTCTCAACAAGTATACCAGCACAACAAATGAAAACCAAATGAATAACAAATGACATCAGCAAGATAGAACACACCTGAACAAGTTGGTCCTCATTTAAAGCTAACAAGCTTGCTAAAACAGGAAATCGTCCAACAAATTCAGGAATGAGGCCGTATGCAACAAGATCACCACTTTCTACCTGCAAGTCCATACAAAAACTTGAGGCTACCTGCTCAAACAATTGAATACTGTGGATCTAGTCCATATTTATAATAGAATAACAAACAGAATAACATCGAGATAAGAAATAAAATGTACAGCAATATAACAGAATACATCTGTTTCTTTATGTATATTGGGTTTTAGTTCTCACAGATTCCAGCAGTGATGATGTCACCATTGCATTAGTTATTCCACCAGCCCTCATGTTTGCACGAACTGGTGCTCCAAAACCAATAGAGGCATCTTGTCGTCTTGGAAAAAAGACAAGTCCTATCTATCAAACTAAGCAGACTTTAACAAACAAATTCTATTAACATACATCAACTAGAAAATAACAATACCTTTCTGAAATGGTTTTCTCCAAATTTACAAATGCCCCACCACATATGAAGAGGATGTCCTTTGTGTCTAACTGCCACCATAACAACTAAGTTATAAGATGCACAAGATAGTGGTTTAACAACAAACAAGAAAACAAAGGCAGAAACAAGAAACAAGCAGTAGTCCTCGGGTTGCTATGCAGGAAAAAAAACGACAGGAAAACAATAAAAAAGAATTGGTTGATTGGCATTCTTAGAGCTTTCTTCGGCACCGGACATAGGACTCATTCCTAAATATTTAAGTAAACTTTTTTGCATTACAAATCTTGATAGCATGAGGAATTAGTCAAAAAAGAGAAAACAAGCATAAAGGACCTTCATGACACCATAAGACAGGTAGTACACCCAAAGAACAAAATCACCAAGTTACTTTTTCTCCTTTTAGACCTTTAGCTTGGTAGAAACGAGCAGCAGCAATATATTTACTTGTTCTCCTATTTAATTCTTTAGCCGGGGAGAATTACCCACTTCCTTCAAATATTTTCAAATTTAATTTATGATAAAGTGTAAAGGATTCACCCCAAGCAACATTTCAAACAAAGGGAGGGCATATACCTAACCAAAATGAATTTTGGGGGTTTCATGTTTTCGTTCAGACAAGCACACAAAAATGTAATTTTAGCATTAACTAAACCAGTTGCATGAGATATTGGACCTTTTGAACGTTAAAATGCCTAACTGAGTAAAAAATACCTCAATTCCTAAATACTTAAGAAATATTGATTGTAAAATTGTGCTTCCCAAACATGATTGACACCTAGCATGTCAGCAAAGATAAGTTTTTATTCAATGACTTGTCAAGCAAAATCAAGTGCAATTTGCAAGTTCCATATGCATATACAGAACCAGAAGCATGCCTGCACACATACAACCAAACAACTTTAGGCCCAGTGTACCTGAATTGTATCACCACGAGGATGCTTCCCAGGTCCTTTATCAGGAACCGGAACATTTACTACCTGGAAAAGGAAATATTTCATTATATAAAACCAGATAAAATTAAAATCAAAGTTTCGAACAAGACACCTCCAATGGATTTTTGGTAATAATCAGAAGGAAAGCACATGCAAATACCTAACACTATGCTGTCTCTTTCATGGATTTTTAGTAAGACAATGCTGTAATACCTAAGACAAACTAAGCCAAGTGCAACAATGATGCAAACAACAAAAGAATAGCTATTGCAAAAACTTTGAGAAAAAAATTCCTAGCATTTGGAACATATTCTAAGATTTTAAATTTCCATCCAGCTTGCACATTGAATTAAGGATAAAATGGACAAAAATAAAGATTTTTGACGTTCTTCCCAAGTTTATTCATCTAAAACTAACAGGTGCAAAATCAAAGAAAGAAATCATGTAATATATAAACTGTGAGCAGCATAATTCTACGAGTTCCACCAGAAAGCACAGCTAATAAGAATCAAAATTCTTCAACTGAGAACTAAATGATTCACTCACAGTTCCTTCCAGCATTTTCAACAATGCCTGTTGAACACCCTCTCCAGACACATCTCTTCCAATGTTGGAACTCTCAGCCTGCACACAAACTAAGCAATTACCATACACTGGAAATCAAATTATCCAAAGGCAGAATCCACTTGTCAACAAATCACAGACCTTCATGGTTATTTTGTCAACTTCATCGATGTAAACAATCCCTCGCTGAGCTGCTTCCACATTGAATTCAGCTACCTAAATTGCCAACTAGAAAAAAGGTTATCCAAGACAAGAACAAAAGCAAAAGGATGCAGCCAAAAGCTGACAAACCATACCCCTAGTAGCTTATATAATATTGATTCCACATCTTCTCCAACATAACCTGCCTGGAGAGAGAGAGAGATGGGAAGTCAGAATTTAATAGTAGAGTTTAGGCAAACAACTGGATTAAGCTCACAAATAGCATCAACATCCGTCTAACACATATGATGCAGTATAATAGGTAGAAATTCCTTTCCTTTTTCTCTGTTTATTTTTGTAGAGCAGAAGTTCCATAGTAACACAAAACCCACAAATCATATGCTCCATGCTTACATCATAAACAAATATGAGGAATGCCCAGTTCATTTTAGATATTCCTAGCCTAATATAGCTCCAATTTATAAGAATTACTTTGATTTCAAAATGTGAAGAAAATCACGAGTATACAATTTACAAAACCAGCACAGGAGTATCAGTGTGGAAGCAAAGAAGAGGAAAACCCTTTAGACAAGGGTATGTGATCAAACAGCACCAAGAATGACCTTGAAATTATGGAGAATGTGAAGATGCAGAACTATGCAAGAAATGAACTTGCCTGTGTTAGTGTTGTTGCATCAGCAATGACAAAGGGCACATCAACGATGCGAGCTAGTGTTTTTGCCAGTAATGTCTTCCCTATCCTTAGGGTCAAGGCAAAATTAAATGAATCAGACAGCGGTCAATCTAAGTAGTAGGTTCACAATTGTACCTTCAGAAGAATAATGTTTTAGCCACATGCAATAACCAAATCATAAAAGCAAGAACAACATTTTCATACCCGAGCCAGTGGGACCCATCAATAGTACATTACTCTTATCTAGCTCAACAAACTCATTCTCGTCAGTTTCACCATCACTGTGACTCCAGTTGACACGTGACCTGGTATCCCAATGTAAGTGTTAAGTAAAGAAGCAGCAAAAAGACAAACATCTGAATTTTATAATCACAAATACATAATCGTTACTGTCAATTAACATTAAGAATGACATTGAAAAGAGCATTCGATATCAGAATAAATGACAAGTACAAAGCAATAAAGACCCAAACCAATTCCAATAGAAAGACCATGAAAGACTAACTCTTTTTTCTTGGAGGCATGATATATCCTTTTGTAATGGTTGTAAACTGCCACAGAAAGCACCTGTTATATTATAATAGGCGTCAAAACAAACACCAAAATGTGGAGAAACTAATAGACTTGTAATACAAAATTGGAATCAAATCCATGAATATAAACTTTTGTTCCTTATTTATTTGGTTGCCAAGTAACAGTTTGAAAATCGATATTTAAAAGTGCAAAAACTTCAGAGCTTTCATTAAATTGATTCCTAGAAATAAACAATCATACATTAACTCAGATTGACTAACAATATCGCAATACCATTGATGTACAGAAAATTCACTATGAACTAGATACCAAATGGAGAAAAGAACTCAAGGAAGATGAAAACGTGAAAAAATGGGGTTGAACAAGCACTCCTTGACTACCAAACCTACATTTCTACATCTAGATCCAAAATTCAAACTAGCTAGCTGCCAGTATGTGATAAAATCTTCAAGGTGGCTGGTTTTCTACCCAAGCTGCCAGCACGATTTCTATCCAGAGTGCTCAATGTTGATTTTATTGAAGCAAACTCTGACTGCTTATTGACTACACAAGCATTCATTTGATCTTTGGCATGATTGTCAAATTTCCATGTGCTGGTTGTTAACCAAGAAGGCAGAATTATGCAAGCTTAAATTTAATGTCGATTTCCTGACAGCCTGCACGCTTGGGAGAAAATCATCATAACTCCCTCTAGAAAGCTCTGCACACCATTTGAATCATAACTAGGCACATGGACTTTTCGAATCATGTATAGATTACCTAGTGTTTTCTGAATAATTAACAAAGTTTTGCCTTTGAAGTTAATCCTTAAATCTGGGCATTATATGAGAATTCAGCTGTCCTAAACCTTGTTTGGCACCATATATCCCAACTTCATTTTCCATGTAAATTTTTTATTCATTAGGAACGGTCCTACATCGAGCTATACCAATTCACCAACAATATAATATTATTAACTACAACGAGTTTTAAATTCATTAAAGAACCGCACATGTAAATGCAATTTGCCAAACATCAAACAAAATAATATCGAATCTCCACTCATTTCAACTGTAAAAACAAATTCGGTCATTCGAAACCCTTTTATCTAACCAAATTATACAAGTTACCAATAAGTGCACAAATTCAACAGGAAAAAAAAAAAAACCGAAAAATACAAACGAACCTTTTTGGCTTTGTCCTGGCCAATGACAAACTCATCAAGCCCTTTACAAATCTCTTTAGGAGTAGGCAACTCTCTCTCCAACTTCCCTTCGCCACCGCCACCACAAACTTCCTCCACATTTCTCCCGCTTTTACCACAATCTTTCTCGACAATCCCCTCTACATCCTTACAATTATTATTACTAGTACCATTATTATCCAAACCCTTGACCCTACCAAGCTCAAGGAAATTCCCCTGTAAAGGCTCCAACTTAAACGGCCTAAAATAAAACGCTGTTTTGCATTTAGGACAGAAATTGACCGCTTGATAGACACCGGTTTCTCGTCCACTAATCGATAAAGGCCGGTTCGATAATAGGACTGGCATTTGAGAGGTGCATCGAGGACAGTTAACCTCAGCCCTAATGTAATCGTATTCTGTTGTGTTTGTTGTGGTCTTGTCGCTTAATTGCCGGATAAACCCTAAGCCTAGGGTTTTAGTTGATGTTTGTGTGGGAATTAGAGGTTTTGTTGGCGAAAAAGTGAAAGTTTTGGTCGTGAAGTGTTTGAGTGCGGTGGTTGTGACGGTTCTTGAGCGTTTGAGAAGCGAAAGCATGGTGGTTGAGGTGGTGCTGGTGGTGGAGGGAGTGAAGAAACAGAGCTGGAGAGGGAGAACGTAAAAAAGCCGAAATTGATAGACTCAAGTTTTGCTTCATGCTGGTTAAGGAGAACACTTGTCGTTTGAATTTTAAGCCACGGTTCATCTCAGGTTTTTTCGAAATTATAGCAACTTACAAGAGCATATTAAACATTTAACATTGTTTGTTGCCGGTTTAATTTATTTTGCACTTCGGTCCCTATAGTTCATTTTCTGTCGCGTTTCAATTCCTGAACGTGGAGACAGAAGAAATTGAGGAAAGAAAAAAGAGGAGAGAGCACCCACCTCGGATTCTCATTCTGGCATCTACTCTTGGTCGGGATGGTGTTAACCTGGATATCAAATAGATACTCGTTTATTCAAAATAAATAAATATTTATTAAAAATATCTAATAAACGTTAAAACAGGTAAAAATAAATAAATAAATATGTTTATACTAATATGAATATCCATTTACACAATTAATGTCCATTAAATTTTTTAAAAATAATAATAATTTAACATAAAAGGACCTTATGCAAAATTTATAAGATAAGTATCAAAATGTTTTTTTATGAAAGTTCTAAGGACTAAAAATTATAAATAAAATACGATTGCACAGTGAAATATTTAATTTAAGAACCAAAATAACTTCTGTTTTTTAAAAAATTATAGAGACTAAACTAAATTTTTTTAATTGACTATTTTTAATGGATATTAAATACGTGGATAAATAGAGTATGAATTTAGAATGTAAATTTTTAGAATTGTTCTAAAGATGTTCAAGATTATCAAAAAATCATTCATCCAAAACAAAACAAAATTCAGCTAAACAAGAAATATAAGTTTTTGTAAAGAATATTGTTATGACAAAGATATATAAAGTTCAGCATAAAATACCTTATTACAAAAAGAGTAATAAACTTAAAACTGATTATTAAAAAGTACAAACTCTATGTTCGGACTAAAGAACTTTGAAAACTTTATTTAGGTTCGTTATCTTTTCTTTTTCACCTTTGTTTCCTTACATGATCACATTTTTTAGAATTGTTCTCGTAGATGTTCAAGATTGTCAAAAATTATTCATAAAAAAGAAAACATAAGTTAGCCAAACAAGAGATATAAATTGTTGTAAATAATCTAATTATGACAATAGTGCATTAAGTTCAATATAAACCAAGTGAAAACAATTTTCATAGAACCGATAACTCAAAAGTACATAACAAAAGATGTATAACATAATCATGCCATTTAATATCACTACGTTCATAGCCATAATAAAACTTAATTATTTTATAATTGTGTAGAAAGATCTTGATTTATTAGAATGATTTGGAAATGATATGTTGAATCGATCTATTTGAAAAATAGATACTCGATTTCTTAATTTTTGAAGTTAGTTTCCGATCGTTGATAAATTTTTGAACTAATAAAGATAGACTAAGCACTTGAATTAATAAGTTTAATACTTGATACATCATTATTTTTAATTCTTAGTTGCATTAGAATACGATGAATTGATTTATATATATGAAAAATTCTCATAGCTGGAAAACATAAATCAAGCTCATAAAATAACTTGAGTTTTGATCGGATTTTTTAACGTTTAAGAGTGAATTAAGATATATTTTCAAGATTAGGATGGGTTCTTATAAGACTTAAAAAGACGATTAATTTGAGTTGTCTTTTAAAAAGAAAAAAGAAAAAATCGAGAGAAAATAGGGTTTTGGAGTCTGGTACTCGGGAGTCAGTGCGAGTGCGGGTCGTTCTTGTAAATTTCGTCGAGAGGGCCTGGCGAACCGAGCCTAGGCTTGCTCGGGCATGGCTTCCCAAGCCCAGTCGACCGTGGATCTGGCTCGGCAGGCCCTCTCCCTTCTGTTTTGAACTTTAAATTTCTTCATTTTTTTTTCCTCCACAAAAAAAAAAAAAAAAAAATCATTTTCTCCTTGATCTTTGAAAATTACACGTCATAATTTTTTTAAAAAATAACACACTGCTTAGGGTTGTCTCCAATTAGTTAAATTAATAAGCACTTCCATTGTAATTTTTAGCGTATGCTTTACACATGAATTGATCTATCTTTTGTTATAAGCTCTATGCTTTTATCTTTTGCACCTGTATGTTGGAATAATATGCGAATTGTATAACTTAATAAGTACGTGAAAGAAAAGAGTATATATATATATATATATATCATACTAGATGGTAAAAATGAAAAAAAAAAAAAAACAGAAAAGGCTGGAATGCCAAAAAAATAAAATAAAATTTAAAGCCTAGAGTTTTCAAAATCATGATAAGGGTAATTTTTAGATTTTATATGAAGTATTTTTATCATTATGCATATTTATTTGTAAAAATAACAAAAGTTGATGTGCTAATTTTAACATCTATTTTTTTTTTTTTTATCATCTAAGGTATTTCAAGTCTAAAAGTTCGATTAATCTCTTCTTATTTTGTCGGACTTACAAGTTTGAGATAACTATCAAGAGAATTTGTTACATACATAAGAACTTGAGTTCTAAAACACTTGTTTAAAAGATTAAAACTCTTTTTACTTGAATCAATTCTCCTGAATAATATTAAAATCTATCTAACTGGGGAAGATTGATCCAAAATATTTATCTTAGGACGTCTCTATTTATTCTTGTAGAAATCTCGTCAGGAATTCTACCCTTTGTTTTATTTTTCAAACGGAGAAGAACTTTAAACAATGCCCGACCACCGTCCACCTAGACTGTAAACATTATTTGGTTCACCAAAGTCATGACTTTTTTTATTTTTTTTAAGATGATGTAGCAAAATGGTTATATCTCCATCGGGAAGAAAGCAAGATTGCCACAGGAAGGAACAGCAGATCTAGAATAATGAATATCGCTTGGCTAGAAGAGTGCAACTTGAATGTGATGTGATTGACACGGTTGGGAATTTAGAAATAGAATGCTGACCCGACACGACCTCGTCCTCGTTTCTCTGATCCTAGCTCATTTTAAGGTTCAGCTTCCACTTGGACCATTTAAAAAGCCGGACCTTAAAAAGTCGGTAGACGTTAATTGTTAACAAAAATATCAATTAGGTTGCAGCCATGTTGCACGTGGGTTTAGAGAACCCAATCAAGTTTTGGGACCCAGGAACTAATTTTTTTTTCTTTTCTATTGTGCGAAAATGATATATTTGAATTAGTTTGTAGGAGATTGAGTTTTTTTTTCCGACGATTTTAAAAATGTATCGATTACATTGATAGATGCATTGAGAGGTATTAAATATATATATATATATATATTAGAAAACAAGTAAGAAAAATAGAGTAGAAAGATAAAATCAATCATAAAACATAAATATTTAAATAGTTAGATAATTATACATATTCTAAATTTTTTTATTAGCATTTTATCAATTAGCGACTTGCAAATATAAATAATGTTATCTTTATTTATAACGAGATCATCATGTATATATCGTATTAAGCCACAAGCTAGATTCATATAAGTTTTCACAGTTATTTTTGTCCATTTTTTCTGTCACTCTCAAAACCTCTATTTTTTTTCACCAAAAACGTTCTTATTTCACATTAAATCAAGTTTTAATCCGTCGATGTGCATTTCTTAGACTTTAAAGCCGACTCTTTCCACCTTCTCCTTGCATTTTCAGCAAAAATCAAACCCTAACTTGATAGTTACCATCAAAGCAGTCACTTTCATGCATTTGTCTTTCATTTTCCTGCCACCCACCTTCTTGCTGGTCTTTTTTAATCATCAAAACTTAAGTTTAAAACTACAAATCTTCTACTTTTCACCTAAAATTATACTAAAATTTCAAATACCCTCCTCCCATTTGAATTAAACACGCCATTTATCTAAATGTATTTTTCGTATAATAGTAGTTACTTGTAAATAATATGATATTTTTTTATTAAAAAAATATAGATTAAAAATTTAGCTCATTTTATAATATAAAGACATTGAATACCAACCTCGTTGTATAAATACAAACTAAAGCATTTCTTTTTATATTTTTCTTTTGTTTTTAAGATTAGTTTATATCTGTGAATTACACCAAAAGGTTATCTTTAGTGAGAGAATAATATTGTGAAAATATCTAATATTCTAACCATTGGAAATAAATAAATAAGTAATTAGATTGTGCTGAGCTAACACTAGGCAAAATACTGATGCAAGTATTTCAAGAACTAACTTTAAATAGTTATTTATTGGTTAAGAAAGTTTATTTTATTTTTTGATTTTTTCAAATTCAAGTATTAAAATCGGTATTTAAAAAAGTTATTAAATTCTTTTGAATTCATCATATTGATAAAAAATACATATTCTTAAAATTATTTTTAAAAACTAATAAAAAATTAATTTCAATTAACGCAAAAACAAAAATAAATATATAATAAAAAAAGGAAAATTTCTTGAACGACGGTGAATGAATAAACGGCTATGATCATAGTGATTAGTGCAGATTCTTCTAGTTGGTTCTTCATTCGTATCCTCAGATAGGAAACTTTGTGAGATTTCTTCGACACGACAAGACAGGATTAACCTATTATTTTATTCAATTAATAATTTTATTTGACTTCTTATGACATGTTCATTGACTTCCCAATTCTCAGATAGCGGACTAATTTGTCCCGCTGCACATCCACGTGCGCAAAACGAAAAGCTTCCCACAGACAGGACAGTTTTTTTGTGAAACCGAGATGCTTCAACACGTGGACTCATCCCAAAACAGAGAGCGGACCCAAGGGAGTTCTATGAACGTCAGATGCTGGTTCCACGTGTCTTCTATATCCAATCCCTTGTGACCCTAGCCGTCACCACGTCAGCGGGGGCTAGACGTTCTTTGCTTAACAACCGTTTGGCTCTCTCCTTTCTCTCAAAGAGAAACAGACAAAAAGGTCGTCTGGTTTCTACCTTAAATAATAATAATAATAATAAATAAACAAATAAAACAAAGGCCCGTTTGCTTTCATATTTCAATCACCTTATTATTATTATTATTATTATTATTGTGGATTATAAGGTAAGAGTATCATGACACTCACTTGGACGTTGATGTTCATAAAGACAAATTTATGGATAAAATAACAATAATAATAATAATAAATATAATATATATATTTTTTATGTATCCAAATAATTTTGGAGCAAGCAGGTAAAAGAATTTAATAAATTTATTTGAATATATAAATCGATGTAAAAATATGTTCTTGAGATCGTTTAAAGAAGAGCATTAATTCTTAGTTTAAGTAAAAAAATTAGTTCAAAAATATCTCTTATTATTGATAAAAGAAAAAAAAAGAAAGGAATGAAAGAGTTTATTTATAAACGGTTTACTTACTTGCTCCTCCCCCCCCCCCCCCCCCCCCAACAATCTCAAGCAAACATTACAATGGTTAAGAAAAAATATATTTTTTTTTATTTTAGTTTTTGAATTAGAATTTTTTGAATAAGCATTTAAGAAAATTTAATATTTTTTTAAAATGCATTAAACCGATATAAAAAATAAACCGTTGAAAAAAGAGTGTGTAATCTTTGTTAATATGAAAAACAAGTTCAAAAATATTTTTTATTATCGAATAAAAAAATAAAAAAGAGCTTTTTTCCGAATTCATGATTCATTTGTTTTATATTGATCTGTCTTTTAATTTTTTTTTCTCTAGAGAATTTGAATATGACAAATAATACTAGGGTGTCTATATAGTAATTTTTTTTCATTAGATGGTAGGATGTATTTGTGAAATAGTTTAATGTGGATCGAAACTAAGTATTATTATCCAAAGATTTTAAAAAATGCATGTTTTAGAAAATATTCTTATATTCATTTCTTGTTCAACCTAAACAATTTGTCTTGGCTATTAAGTGTGATAAACACTGTCTTTTTTTGTTTAAGATAATTTCACCACGAACTGTAGAAAGGATTGAAAATGATATATATGTGTTAATGTACATGGTGGCCTTAGGGATGGCAATGCCATCCCCATCCCTGCCTTGTCCCTTATAAAAAAACTCATTTTCATCCCGTGTCTCGTTCAAGGTAAAATTTTGCTTTTCATTTTCGTCTTAAACAAGACGGGATGGGACGAGGCTTCGCCAAATTACCTTTTTAAAGAAAAAAGACGTGGCGAGGTGGGGATTGCTATCCTCATCCCCGCCTCGCCTAAAAAAAAAAAAAAAAATTCTATCCCCACATCGTGTCTCGTTTGGGGCAAAATTTCCCGCCTCATCTTCATCCCAAATGGGATAGGATGGCTTCAGTTCAGGTTGCATTACCATCTCTAGGTGTCGTTGATGACTTTTGCAATTCAGTGCTTTTCACATATTATATAGTACGTAGTATATATTTTTCTTTTTAAGTACATCGATTGTCCCTAATCTTCACATGTTTTGTATGTTTTTCTCTTTAAAAATAGCACAAAGTTTCGTCCTAGCTAGATCATCCAACAATTATTTCAAAGATGTTAAGGAAAATATTGTAAAGGAGCTCAGAAAAAAATGCCAAATCTTAGATTACTTCTGCACTCTCTATTTACCAATTCTAGGATATCAAGAAGCAAATAAAATGAAAGGCATGCAGGTTTTAGCAATCCGGCATCCAAAATTGGTTTCCGTGTATAAAAAGAAATCAGAGAAAAATACACTATAACATAAAATAAATTATCGCGATAGTTATTTCTTTTTTGACTTTGAGGTAAGTTGAAGACTTTCATTATTTTTTTTTTATGTCTCAAAGATTTTCTTTCCTACTTAATGGAATTTTACCATTTTCTCAACTATCAGTACAAAATCGAACCTATATTTTTTTTGTAAAAAAAATAAAAATAAAATCTCTTTGCTCTTTTGAACTAAGAAAAAACCCTTGAGTAATTCTTCCCAATTTTAATTACATTCTTATTTTTAATTAGCCATCAATTTTGGACGTTCAAGTCTTTTTTTTTAAAAAAAAAATTTGTCAGGTAATTTGAATAAACTACAAAAAAAAAAAACCTATAAAATTGTTAGTTTTTGTATGAATTCCTATAAAATGAATGCTTGTGATTTGACCAACAATTTCCAATGTTCTATATAATGCTCGATAAATTAATCCTCATTTTTACTAAGATTATGTTTGTCAAAAAATAAAAAAAAGGATAAGAGGGGAAAAAAATGGATAAATTGGAATGATAGACGAATTCATCAAGTTATTTGCCTAATAAAAAAAGTGAAATATGAAAAGTTCATTCTTTCAATTGAAAAAAATTAAAGATTAACAAAAACAAATGAGAGTCAGTGCGTCTAAATTCGTCTAAAAAAATATATGGTTTCAATATGTCATGAGAATTTTTTTTTTTTTTACCAACTTAAATGAAATCTCTTTTTTCTCATCCATCCTTCCTTCTCTCGATCCCTAACGCAAATACATCCTAAAAAGTTCTAACGTTTACGAACAATGGGATAAATATTCAACTAAAATGTCTTGTTCCGCTTAATCAATCGTGTGACGTTATGTTTACCACAACTAGATAAGATTTCTATGTTCTTTTTCCATTTTGTTACACAAAGAGTTAGGTTATCTGTTAAGTCTCGTAGGGTAGATATACAGTTGAAGTCTTGAACCTGGTAATATTGAAATTGAAATAATAATAATAATAATAATTTCCGGCTAGACCCCAAGTCTCCCTTCAAAATTGACGAGTCTTTCTCAAATTCTCAATAAACAAAATAAAGTGCTATAAATACATACTTTCTATTTTACCCAAATAGAAATAGATTACGTAAACAAAATTTGACAATTGTTTGTTAGATTAAGAACATGAATCATTAGAATAATCGATTATTATCGTCTCTAAAAAATAAAATTATTATACAAATTTAGAAGAATCTGTAAATTAATAAACTAAATATACCTCGTAATTTTATCTCTAAAATAACATTCTAATAGCTAGAATTTACATCTTTACAATTATTAATTATCACGTAATCAATACTCTGCAACCTTCTTTAATTCTTTTTATAACTTTTTATTTTAATTTTATAATCAGTATTTAAAATAATTTATTAAAATTTTCAAAATGTATTAAATTGACATAGAAAGGAATACATTCTCAAGACTGCATGAAAAACAAGACATAAGTCAGTATTCAATTTTTTTTTTTAATATTTATAGATATCCAAGTTTTTTCAAGACAATGTTTTTTATCAATTAAAATTAAATGCGCTGCTCTAGGAGTTCAACTAGCGTTGGAACTCGTTTGACATATGCCAACTAGTCTTATCTGTTGACTTAACAGATGATTTACGCTGGAGTACTGAAAAAAATAAATAAATAAAAAGAAAAGAAGAAAGAAATTGAAAATGAGCCCAAGCCCAAAATTATAGACGCCAAACGCAGCTTAATGCTTAGCAAGCAATAAGCCAGCTTTCTTTTCCCTTTCTTTCCTCCTGCTTTCTCTGGCCTGTTGTTGTCAATGAATAGCAAGCAGCATATCATCGTTTTTCCTCGAGCAGCTCCGTGTTGCCAATTGTGCTAGCGTGTAAGCCACCTGCCTCTTTTAATTATTTCCTTCTCCTTCCCTTTCCAGCAATGCAATTTGCAATTCTTCTCTCTTTTCCGTTAATTCCAAAGCGTTGCCTCCCTCAATAAATCCACCCCTCTCCAAAATAGTCACGCCCAGCAAAACGACACCATTTCGAGAATGGCTCCGATCAAAATGAAGCAATCGTCAAATCACACGGCGCAAACCCTAACATCTGCTACTTCATCACAAGAAGCGCGTCTTCTTGTCCGTGAAACGCTGCGCATAAGCGCTAACTTGGCTTCCTCTCCTGCTCCTGCTGCCAATCCACACTCGCTCGCTCAATCTTCCTCTCCGTCGGTTGATCATACTAGAAGATTGGGTCTTGTCGAAGACGAATTCGTCCATTCCAGTTTGAGGTTGATTTGTTGTGAGGAAATTGATGGCCGGAGATGGAAGTATGTTGCTGAGACAGACGGCTCTGGACTGTTCAAGAAGAATTCTATTCGTGCTGTGGGCTTGCAGTCTCCGCAAGCTCCCGTTGAGGTTCTCTCTCCTTCTGTTTGTATTATTATTCTCGAGGATTTGATTTGCTGAATTATCAGATTGCCGGTGGATTATGTTTGTGTGAATGCTTTGCATCAAATTGGAATCATTTGAATTCAATGCAATTCTATTATTTCATACCAAAAAAACAAAAATAAAACGGAATTTTCTCTAGTAATTTAATCTTTCCTTGTTTGTGTAATTTATTTACTGAAGTTGTGGTGCAGGAATTGATGACATTCATTAGATCCTATGTAGTTCCCGAAGGTTTCCCTGATAGTGTTATTCCGTCTTATGTGCCATACATGACTTGGAGAGCTTTGAAGGTACACTTTTGTTTCAAGAATGGAGTTGGCTTTTAAGGGGAGGAACAATACATTTAACTACTTTTTTTGCTCTGCTCCTAAATCACTTATTTCAGCATTTCTTTGGCGGAGCCATGGGTGTTTTCACAACGAAAACCCTTTTGAGTTCAGTTGGAGCCTCTAAGAGCCAAGCTATTCCGGGGGCTGTTGCTATCAATTGGATTCTCAAGGTAAGAACTATAGTTACCCATTTTGCAACAAGCAAGTTTATGTCATTTTCGCTTTTATTCTTTTGTTTCTCATCTACTAGTTCTATATTTCATTGCATGAACAAGGTTTCACACACTTCTGTATAATTTTGAAACTTGCTTTGAGTTGCTGGAAAATCTGTTTCTCTTTCTTTTCCTTCTTTTGTTTTTCCCGAGGCTTTGCTGTCTTATCTGCACCTTTATTTCTATTAGGCAATTACTGTGGCCCACGGACTGGTTGTATGCTTTAATTGTAATAGGGATTGCCGATTGCCCCTTCTGTTTCTTAATAAAATTGACTTATTCATAAAGATCTCTTTTTGCATTTTGAAATTTGAGGGGGATATGCATGGACTTTTGATATGCAAAACAATTTATTAATGCTCAATTATCTTGCCAAGCAGCAATTTCTAAGGCGATACCTTATAGAATTGACAGGAACTATAAATGAATGGTAGAAAGCTGCTATCCCAAAGTTTCACTACCACATTCTTCAAAGATGTAGTAATTGTAATAGTGCTTGATAGGGTATGGGATTCCAGCTGAATTTGAACCCCAGTTAGGTGAAGTTTGTTTGCTATTTGCTTTTCCTTTTTTTTTTTTGTTTTTTTTTTAAATAAAAAAATAACAGCTTTCTCAAGTTTTTTTATCCTTCTAATTTCAAATATGTTTTAAAGATGAAGAAATGTTATGATACTCAAGGAGTAACTACTGTAAGTTACTCCATAGAGAGAGATAGACACAAAGAGGAGAGAAAATAAATAAAAAAAATTTGAGCTAAGGTGGAATCTTCTTATCACTTTTAGTGGGTCCGAGATGTGATTTTATTATTTTATTATTATTATTATTATTATTATTATTATTTTTTATGTGTCTATCTCTCTTTTGAAAATTAGGCTCATGGAGTAACTATTATACATATACACAAGTTATTCCTCAAGTATTATAAAATTTCTCAAGGTCAATGACATGCATCCCTCCACTAGGTCAATATGATTAGTTTGCCCCTCTACTTGTTTTTTTATTGATTGGGTCAATATACTTCCAAAATTTTACTTAATTTGGTCCCTCTTTCCCACTCGATTACAAATGGACTTAGCTGATGTTAATTGACTTAAAGCAAACCTACAGCTGAGTGCCATGCACCTAACATGAATGGATTGTTTTTTTTTTTTTTTAAAAAAAAAAAAAAGAAAAAGATTCAAAAACAAGAAAAACAAATTGAGGGCTAGAAATTACAACTGATATGATCACTATAAGGCCATGTAACTGATATCATCGCTACAAGATTAAAATCCAAACAAGCTGTTAGAGTGTGGAAGTCATCTTCAAAATGAACTTAGGAACTACAAGATTAAAGTTCAATTTCCTGCTTCGGAATCCACGCAACTGATATTATCATATAAGCCCATGTAACTGATTTTCCAAACCAAGGAAAAATAGGTCCACCAGATCAAACAACAAAATCCAGAGACTAAAAGAATTGAAAGAATCAATGAAACCAGAAGCTAAATCTCAACATCAACACCAGATGATTAGAGAAGGATTGGAAAAGTTGGTGAGGCAAGGGAGAGGCCATGTATAGGGTGCGAACATGGGAATGCGAAGTTGGCAGCAGCTGTTTGGGGGTTGGTGGGTTGGGGGGGGGGGGTGTGATAGAAGGTGGTGGGGAGATGTGGTGGTTCGTGTATCGATTGGGTTTTCTTAATGACTTAGGGATTCAATTCAATTGTTTTCATGGAAGGGATTGGGTAATCTATGGATCAAGGAGAGATACAAAGAGAGAGATCAGCTAGTCTGAGGTTATTGTAGATGTTGTTGAGAGAGAGAGAGAATCCAGTTGTAGGACGTTTCACATGGAAATGGATGGAGTGTCCCGATTGTAAAAGGAATAAAACATAGAGGGACTTGTGCATAAAATTTTTAGTAGAGGAATTCAATGAATCAAATCGATCAAGTACAAGGATGGGGTGTGTAATTAACCCGATACCTACACAAATAATTATGCTTCTGGTTGAGTTATAGGTTCTTTGTTAGAGTTTCATGGTGCTACCTTCTAAACAATTTTCCCTTGCATCCAGAGGTAATTGCAAAAGAAAAGTCTAAGTGCTCAAATTGCTCCCAAGTATGCATCCATCCACCCTTTTACAAAAAATAGACAAAAAATTGATATGTGTGTGTGTGTGTGGAGAGCTTGACATTAGTTATAAAAACAACAAAAAAGCCTTAAACCCAAGCCAGTTGGGTTTCCGCTATATGGATTTTTTCACCATCCATGCGACATAAACCAAATCAGCCTCTATATCGAGGTAATATATCTATTGTGAGTACATTCATCATGTTCTCCCATATTTGCAGGATGGTGCCGGTCGTGTTGGAAAAATGCTTTTTGCACGGCAAGGAAAGAAATTTGATAATGATCTAAAACAGGTGCAGTTTCTCAATTTTGGGTTAATTGCGCAGTCGTTCTTACAGGATGGTATCTGACTTAACAATGCATTATAGCTGCGATTTGCGGGAGACCTTCTCATGGAATTGGGTGCTGGGGTGGAGTTGGCAACTGCAGCAGTCCCACACCTTTTTCTTCCTTTGGCTTGTGCTGCTAATGTGGCAAAGGTTTGATACTTGTCTGTTTGCAAAATGTATACATGTTTGAATTGGTTCTGGAATATCATATTCTTCATTACTTCTTACAGAATGTTGCTGCTGTAACTTCAACATCAACTCGTACACCAATTTACAAAGCCTTTGCCAAAGGAGAAAACATAGGGGATGTCACTGCCAAGGGAGAATGTGTTGGCAATGTGGCGGATTTGGTATGGTATTCAAAAACTATTTATGGAGTACAGAAACTATGATTTGTAAATCAATTTTGAACCAATTCTGATTCTCTGAAAAAGTTTTACAATATTGGATCGGTTTTATTAACATAATAAAGATTGCTAAAACAGTATTTGTAGAAGATGGACCAAACTTTTCTGATAAGCATATTAGACACCAGAGTATATTCTTTTTGTAAGAGGGCATTCCATTGTTTTTATCAATTGCTCTAATACAATACTCAAAAAAGTATCAAATAGCTATTGCAATTTGCACTTTGAAGTTTATGCAGAATATCTTCTTTGTATATCAAATGAATCATGCAAGTATTTGTCTCACCTGGATGTTAATTTATGGGAACTTGTGCCTTTGGAAGCTGGGAACTGGGCTGAGCATACTGATCTCAAAAAGAAATCCATCCCTGGTTACTACATTTGCGTTACTTTCATGTGGGTATGTCCTCAGCTCTTACCAAGAGGTATGATTATAAAGATAAAACATTGGTGTTATATTGGCACACTTCTATTTTTCTTTTTGTATGTGGTAGCGGAAGTTGAGTAATTGTCCTGACTGCCATCGTGTGGTTTTTTTAAGGTTAAATCTGTAGTTTTGCACACCTTGAACCGGGCCAGATTCAGTGTGGCTGTGGAGTCTTTTCTTAAGACAGGTTATTTGAAGTGTTGGGAATGAAACAAGATTATTGTATTTGTTTCTTCAATCTGGTCGCTGTGCATGATATTTACTAAATTAAGTTGAGTTTCTTTGTTAAGAAGGATTGTTTTTCTGATGAACATTGTGTTTTATGTTCATCTGCAGGGCGAGTTCCCTCATTGCATGAGGGGAATGTGAAGGAAGATATATTCAATTTTCCGTGGTTGAAAGAGAGGTCTATCTCTCTAGGTATGCTTACAAAATTAGGACTGTTTTTCTTTCAACCATGGAAGCATACAATTACTCTTGCATAAATCATCTGCTTCCGAGTTAATATGAGGTTTGTTCCCACTGTTTGGCAGGACCAAGGTTTAAAGATGCGTTTCAAGATCCAAGAGCATATCTTGCCATTGAGCCTCTCTTCGAGGTAATGCTCCTATCTGATAGGAAGCTCATTTGAATGGGGAAATCTGTTCTTTACCACTATGGATCAAGTAATTCTTTTGTCTTGATTGCCTATTTATGTTTCCTACATCTGTTGAATGTATGCCACTGGACGATGACAGAGGGAGAGATATATAGTGACGTACAATCCATCAAAGGATAAAGTGTATGCATTGCTCAAGGATCAGGCGAAGTCAGATGACGTTATAAAAGCAGCATTCCACGTGAGATATTTGACTGCTTTGAATTCTATGCTTGTTACATCAGGGAGAAAGGCTCTTCCTAATTATATAAATTATTTGTATGACAGGCCCACGTGCTTATGCATTTCATACATTCATCAAACAACAGTGGCTCTTCACACGAAAAGCAGCGGGGATATGGTCATTCAAACTATATTCTCTCAGCTGCTGATCTTGAGTCTCATATCGCTGAGTCATGCAAGATGGTCTCCACCTTGTATGGTCCTTTCAAGAGTAAAGCTGCAGAACAGGTAAGTAGAAGTTGACTGATCTTGTTTTCGACCATTATATCTGCAAGCAAAACTACTGTTCACTAGAGAAATGGAAAGATCTTAGCTGTGTCATGCACCGCACTAGCTTGCTTTTCAGATTGCCGGCTACTGTGCCAACAAATAGGAAGACTGGACGTGTACTTGCATGCAGTAGTTATACTTGCAGTTCTTTTAAGAAGTAGAAGAGATGAGATCGGTTGACATTTCCTTTTAAATTTCTGTACAATTAGCGGTTCAAGTGCCTAACGTTAGGCTTCTGGAAATTATAATATTAACTACCTTAATTTGGTGCTTGAAAACACCCAAAAGTGCCTTCTTGTTGCAACATTGCCTAGGAGTTGCAATTGGCAAGCATTTTAGTGTTTTACCCGAGGCAGCACCATCTTTGAACATCTCCAATTCCTTGTTACAGTTTCCAAGAATGAAATTAAATTCCACAGTGCTATTGGTGTTTCCTGGAAATTGATGCTTAAGGTCTTATATGATTGTGCTACTCTCATTAACATATGTGCTATCCTTTTTTTTTTTTTTTTTTAGGGTTGGAGAATGTCAGAATCACTTCTTAATCCCGGCAGAGCTAGGCTGGTATTAAATACTTAAATGGGTCAATTTACCCTCAACACTTCCAGTTTTGCAACGGTAGGTGCTCACGTCTAAAGTGTTCAGACGACATCGGATACTCCGGAAAGGTCAATCACCAAACCGTGGAAACGATGCACTTAACCAAGAGCCAAACAATAGATGGTAGGGCCGTGGTGATCATGGGCACCTTAAGCTGGTCGGTTTTTTTTTTTATTAAGCAGCTCTATGCCGTTTCCAATCTCTACGCAAAGATAAGGTTTGATATGCCAAGGCGTTGCTTTGAGTTTTATATTCGAGTCATTGTATTTTAGCATGAAGTTGCATTGTAATACGTAAATGAGATAATTTTTGGTTTTTCTCTTTTTTGTACAGTTTTGCATTTCTGATAGGTTCATTCTTTGTTGTTTTTCTTTTTTCCTTTTTCCGGTAGACAGGCTGCATTGCCACAATGTTCTGTAAGAACGCATGAAATGCATTTTAGGATCAATGGTTTTCACGTTTGCTCAAATTTTAGAAGAGATTAAAGAATGTTGAAACGTATTCCGGCTATGACTATTCTTCTCTGATACTATTCTCTGTACACGGTATCTTCTGAGTCATCACCGCCAGAATTTTTACTGTGTAGGTCAAGGTAAAACTGCTCTTCATCAGCTTTATTCAACTTCAGTCACATCTGCTGTTTTTCTACTGTATCTCTTGACATTCTGTATACAATTTTGATGTCCTGTCTACAAAATAAATATATATGGGTGCCCCCAAACAATAGATTTTCTAATGTTTGTTTGTGCCATGAGCGGGCATTTTCTTGTGTTTGGTAAATATTGAAAAGCAATTTTTTTTTTTTATATATATTTTTTATAAAAGTATAACCGATTTTATGTCTGTGAATTGATGATAAATATGCTACATGTGCAACATACGAGGTAAATAAATTTTACCTGAGACAAAAGGCATTACAGTCCTCTTCATAAGGTGTATTTCCTCCCCTTTGAGAAGGGGAAGACATTAAATAAAAATCCTCACGTGAAGTTTGCCTTCTCGATTGATTAGAAAATGGATTCCTTTGATTGAATTTTGGAGAAAATATTTTCCAGGAGAGCTCTTTACGCAAGTTGATATATTACAATTTGTATTTTACTCTTCAAGAAAGATCGGTTGAATTTGTCTTTTTTGGGGTAGTCTATAGAATTTCACCTAATCTGGAGTAAATTATAAATTAGTAATGAATGAATGAATTTTTTTTTTGTTTTAAAAACTAATTATTTAGTTTTTTAATCAATATTGACTATACTTAATTTAATATTATCTTATCTAATAAAATTTCATTTTTTCATCAATTTTTTACTTATTATTTTCTTAAAAAGAAAAAATCAAAATAAATTAAAAAACAAAAACAATTAAGTTACAAAAAAATTCAAATAATAAGGATTAAATAACAATTTTTTAAAAAAAGAAGGATTAATTATTTCATTTCTTAAAGCTAAAGTGACTAATTTATAATTTACTCCCTAAACTGGAAGACAAATTTTCTTTGAAAATGAGGTATAAAGGGCTTTTTGTACCGGCAAGAGCACTGTATATATATATATATATATTGTCATGTGATTTGAATGACAATTGATTGGGGCTCCCAATGGTTTATGGCCAGAAATGGGTCTACTGACGGTGTCGCATTTGGCATATTTCTTGTTGGCTAGCTGGATGCAATGACAACAATAACCCAAAATATCGAAATTAAGTTGCTGTTCTTTTTAGCTGATAAAAGGGTAGGCTATTATTGTACTGCTTCTATTTGCTTGTATGATCAAACAAAAAAGAGGCGTCCTTCAGTAATTTTAATTTTTGTTTTTAACTCAGAATTTTGGTTAATTCGTGGGCCCAATTCATGTGAACGATGATGCATTCATACGTCACAACATTTGACCACACAGTTTCATACAAATTTTCTTACACTGATTAATAATAATAATAAAAAAAAAGGTGCAGAGGGATGTCATCTCAATGGCAGCAATGTACATTAAAGATAGCTGAGAAGATCTTGAGACTCTTTAACGAGGAAGATGAATTTTTCTATTTTTGTTTTATTATGACATTCATGTCATGGCTTGTACCTTCCCTCTTGATTTGTGAAAGTTGGTAAAAAAATAATAAAAAAAGGGGTTAATGAAGTGGGAAAATTATGGGGGCCCCGTTTGTGATCTCTTGGAGAACGGTAGCTGGAAATATCATTATAATTATTTAAGGGGCAAACGGTGCAGACCATTTTGTTTTTTTTTAAAAAAAAATTTAAGTAATTTCGGAATCAGTTTTTTTTTAATTTTAGATTGAATCTCTTTTCACCTAGTTTTTTTTTTAATTGAGTCATTTTATTAAGTTTTTATCAATTCTAACTTTAAGAGTGCTAATTATTTGTACATGGTCAATTTTTTAACGTCTTCAATTTGTAAAAATATGTTAACACTCATAAATATTTTGTTTTGTTTTTTTTATTCTAAAATGTTCTTTAATTGTTCATTTTTCAGCATTCAGGAGAGAAAAAACGAGTTTTGAAAGAAAACGTAAAAAATCTATAAGTTTTGATATGTTTTTTTAACTGTAAATGAATTGAACTTACACATTAAAATTGATAAAAATATAAAATAATAATCTAATAAAAAATGAAAAAAAATCCAATTCAAAATTGAAAATCACTTGCACGAGAGATTTATGTCTTTAATCTCTTAGCAATATCATATATGTGTGTGCGTGGAATAGGCATATATGCTGTGGTTGGCTTTGGTTTGATTTGTGTGTTTCAATTAATGGCACAATTAAAGTTTACGTGTAACCCCAAAAAAAAAAAAAAAAGAATTAATGAGCCAGAGTGATGCATGTGAAGACATGCAGAAATACTGATGAAGCAGGCAGCTGGTCTTTCACCAATTAATTACTTCCACCAATTGCTAGGAAGTAAAGTAAGAAAGGATCACATCGATCTTCCCTAATCCAAACTTAGTTTCCACTTTCTAAATTTTCTTTCTATATTCTCATTTTGTAGGGTAGTATTAAATTAAATGAGAATATTATACATTTTCTATAACCTGTTTTTCAATTTTTATTCCATTTTAAGTTAACAAATATACAAATTACAAAAATCTTAAATAAATTTGAACTCCTAATTGCATGGATGAGGATATGCTCAACATGGTATAACCGGCTGCCGATAATTAAATTTTCTTGTAATCTAATAATATTCTTGCTATTTAATAATAACTAACAATTAATATTCAAAATGGAATTGAAAATTACTAAGTTTATTTTCCTTATATTCAATTTTATTTTATAATTTTATAATTAAAATCTAAGCATAAGATGCAAATATCGGCCAAAGGTTTTCACTTTTCAATAGCTAGTTATTTAGATAAAGAGCATGAATCAGAGGGGAATTTTTTTATAAAAAGTGAAAACAAATATGTTATTTTGGGCATGATATTACTGAAGTATCCTTATATACCATTCTTAGTATTTTTTTTTTTAAATTCTCCCTAGATTTTATTAAAAAAAAATCCAAGGTTTTAGGAGCAAAGGACAAGATCCTTTGTTTAAAAATTACCGTTTATTTTGGAAAGTAAATTCTAACCCAAATGTGTGTGTATATATATATATATATATATATATATATATATATTGATGGAGTGGTTTTTGATATTTTTAAACTTTAATTTGAATGTCTAGCATAGTGGTCACAAAAAAAAAAAAAAAAGGAAGGTTTTATCCTGACGTTCGTGTGGAGACAGTGAGGAAGATAATTAATTGATAATTAAGTTCTTTAATCCATACATATAATGGACTAAATTATGACGAGTAGATGATAATTAAAAAGATGATGAGCAACTTAGACAAATCCACTTTCCTATATACTAAAAATGGATTAATGGACAAAAACACCATCCATGCATGCACGACTGAAACTTCAATAATGATAAATTAAACCCTAGTTTTCCTAAACTACTTAACATTACAAAGCCGATATAACAATTATTTAGTATAGTAAAAAAAAAAACTCGAGAAACAGGTCCAAAATTAAAAAAAGAAAAAAAAAAAAGAAAAGAAAGAAAGCAAGTGTAAAAAATAAGTAGCAGCAGTAGAGTAATTACTTTTAGCTAACAAGTAGGGTTAAGCCAAATCTAGCGAATTAAGAGCGGGAGAAAGACGGCAATGTGCTTGGTTAATCTTCTTGCGTTTAAGTAGTAGTGGTGGAGGGGTTCTTTTTGGCAAGATTGTGCTTGTTGTTGTGCATCCAAACCTTGAGGACTCTTCTCTTGATTCCAATCTCCTGGCAGAACTGTTGCACTACAGTTTCTTCTTGCTTCTGTAGCTTCCACCCAACTTTCTCTGCAAAGTTGAGCATTTTCTCCTTCTGTTCCTGCGTGAACTTTGTCCTAAACCTTTTCTTCATCAATTGCGCAGGCCTGGCCATCATTACCCCACCTCCATCTTCTTGCTCGTCAGATTCTGAAGGAAGCGACCCCATGTTGTAGGACATTATCATCTGATGGTGCGGTACTGCTGCTGCTCTTGAGGGTATAAGAGTACCGGTAGCTGTAGGGTACCCTAAAGCCTCAGGAGCTAAAATGCTCTTGTGGTGGCCTAAAATGACTTTCCTTCCAACCCTGTTGAAATGTGGGTAGCAATCTCCGCATGAGGTGTGTTCGCCTTCAATTTCTTTTCTGTGAAAGTTTCTGTGGCAATTGCAGGCTGAGCAAGTGAGAGCTTCTATGCTCCCCTCTTCACCGCTAGGCATGAACTCGCCACACCCATCGGTGGCATTGCCTCCCATAGCGGCTGCATGGTTCTTGAGGCATTCTCTGTACCTAACCATTTTCTTGAACGGCACATGACTGTCATCTACACTTGCTGTGGTTATGGAAGCTGGGCCATTGTTGGAGATGGTGATTTGGGGTGCTGCGGAAGAGATGATGTGGTTGTGGGGTGCTGCAGGATGGTCATGATGGATCAAGTGCCCATGACCCCCCCAAATGCACTGTTCAATGGGATGGGGATCTCTCCCTCATGACTCGAAAGTTCCATTTCCTTTCCTCTCGCTTTTTTGGCCAATTATTTTATTTGTGCCTTGGTTGTTGGGTTGGAGACCAAAAGAGAAAGAGCCAGACAAGAAGCAGAATTAAGAGGCTTAATGATTAGAATTAAAAAAGTGGGTTTTTTTTCTTGAAATCCTAGGCGGTTTTCTTTTTAATAAGTGGCAATTGTCTACTTTTCTCGAAGCAACAACAGACTTAGAAACTATAGAACCTGGCTTTGAGTTCTTGACACCCTATTTATCTAAGAGATCAACACCTCTAAGTTCTTGCAGACCCCCTTCCTCAAGAACTAAAAGAGACAAAAAAGACCTAATCTTATGAATCCAGGAGCTTTGAACTTAGCTTAAGGTAACTGAGTAGCAGTTGCTTTGAGAAAGAGAGTCGGTATATGATGAAGTACGACAATGGTGGTCAATCTTTTGACAAAAAAGCTCAATTAAAGCAAAAAAAAGGTTTCATCAACCACCTAGACCTTCATGAATGCCCATCTCATTCTCACTTCTACGGTCAACTTGGAAGAAAAAGAAAGAGGCAGAAAATTCAGTGACAGTGTAGACTCAGAAGTGGCAATACCAATATGATCAAAAGAACCATTTTCTCTCTCCACACATTTCCATCTCTATTTCTTGAAAGTGAGAGAGAGAGAGAGAGAGAGAGAGAGAGAGAGGAGGCAAGGGAGAGTCAATACTCAAACACAATCCCTAAAATCAAAAAACAAGTAAGAAAATGATGGAGGATGGAAGCTAGTTGGAAACTTTGTCTGTTTCTTTTCTAGCTCTAGAAATAGAAAGAAAGAAATGGGTTAAAGAATACGTACAAAGACAAGATACCATCAAGAATGAACTTGTTTAATCTGATGACACTGAGCTTAAACACTTTCCACAGTGGTTGTAAGAGAAAGCAAGAAGGTTATGGCTAAGAAGAAGATCAGAATTTGGAGAGGAGAAGAGTTAGACAAAAGGGAGGTGAAGGAGAAGATGAGAAGAGAAAGATGGGAGAGAGTTTGAAAGGTGGGTTTTGCTAGTGAAGCAAGCACTAAACAAGGAGCTTATAGTAGTGTTGAGGGCCAAAAAGAAGAGAGAGAGAAAGCAGATTTTTTTTTTTTTTTTTTTTACTGACAAAGAGGAGTACGGTGTGTTTTAGTGAAGGAAAAAAAAAAAAAAAAAAAAGGGTAGAGTGCTTCCTTTGCTTTGCTTGCACTATCAGGCATCAAATTTTTACGCCATATTGAGAGCAGGATGTCAGAGAGTGGAGAGGACAAAGGACAGAGAACCGCAGAAAGAATTATGAGAAGAAATGTTCTTCAAAAAGAAAATGGAGCCTAAATCTTTGTTTACATGTTGTCTATGCATAGAACCCTAAAAAGTTTAAAGAGGGCTAATCCCATCAATTCTGGTTGGAGCTAGTTTTATGCATGTCTCGGGTGTTTTTGTATAAAGAAAATGGGCAAAACACTCTCACCCAATCTGTGTGTTTATTGGCTTAACAAATCAATAAGACCATGACTCCTTTCTATAGAAACAATAGATTTTCTAGGAGGTTCACATTACTAACTAATATACTGCTTATGCATATACATATCCAACCGATTCTAATGACATTAATGAAAACACAATAAATGAAGTTTAATTCGTCCTTTTTAAACTTGTATCTTTTGGTGCCATGACTCAAAGTTTCTTCTGCGAATGTAGAAAAATATCAGTTTTGTAAATTAATATATCAGCAACTTGCTCAGTTGTTTTCACATGAATCAGGTCCACTTCTTTTTCCTTCACATGCCTTCTAATGAAGTGAAAACGAGCATCAATTTACTTCAATCGTTCATGATGAATGCTTTAGCTAATGAAACAGCTGATTTATTATCAATATAAATTGGTTGCATCTTCTTGCTTCAATTCTCCTGTAATTTCCTCAACCAAATGGCATGACAAACACAAAGAAACAACTGCAAAGTGCAACAATAGATTGCTTCCTAATAAATTATTAAATTAGAGATAATTGGGATTGAATTTTATTTCCAAAAAAAAAAAAAATTTAAGCCTTATTTATGGAGGGTGATTTTATTTATTCAATGTATTCTCCTTCACCTGTAATTCATTTTTTTAAGATATATATTATTTAATATGAGATATAATTTTTAATATTTTTTTATTTATTGTTCATCTTTTAAGATATATTAATAAGTCCGAGTTTCGTAATTTTTACCGAATTGTTGAATCTCTTCGAAATTTTAATATCATATTAAATTAGATAATTAAAATTGAATTTCATTTAAACACTTAAATCTTATAATCGATAATTTAACTTTATATAATATTCATTTTTGTTTATCTATTTAAAGTAAAATATATTCACTTACATCCACCAACATGGTGTTGTGCTTCTCTATCTCTCCTTACGCATTTCTTTTTATATATTTTGAGCATCCACTCGACACCAATTTGTGTCCCTGTTTCATCCTTCGTAGCTTTTCTCTACTTAGTTTCTCGAGGAGCTTTTTCAAATGTCAATGGATCACAACCTGTAATTCATCAAAATCAATTCTTTGTACGGCATTGCATTTCTCCTAAATGCTCTTTGTCTTCCTCTTCCATGGTGTTAGACAAGAACAACTGTCCCATTAATTTGGAGTGTCATGCAATTCATGTGAATGATTTATATTCCAAAGAAATGAATGAAATTGATTTATTTATTGTTGATGAAACACTATTGCTATTATTTAGTAATAACTAATCCCTTACTTCTCATTCCTTTTTTTCTTTCTTCCAAATTTTAAACTTCTTGGGTCAAAATTAGGCTATTTTTCTGATCCATCAATTAGTTCTTATCATTCACCTTAATTTGCAAGGAATTTTGTTTATTTGAAAATAGAGAAGTAAAAAAAAAAAAAAAACAGTAGTAATGGCTAGTTTAAAAATACTGTTGAGGCACATGAGGGGACGAAAGTGTGATAATTAGCTTTTGGCTAAGAATAGAAAGCTTTATTAGTGGTGTTTTAATTGCTTCACAGGCCAGAAATACTATTAGTATAAAAGTTTTCACTAGCTAGGGACCATTCAAGATGCTAAATAATAATAATAATAATAATAATAATCACGTAAGACATATATAGTTACAAAATACTTTTTTTTTTTTTTTTAAATCAGAGTAAACTCGTTAAAATGTTGGTGAGGAAAGAACACACGTAAAAGTCAATCATACAACATCATAGGTTTTTTCAGAGGCATGATGGTTAGTGGATCATAAAATAGGGTAATTTTTTTGAGAAATTTTATAATACATCGGGAGTAATTAGTGACATGTATAGTAGTTACTTCATGGGTTTACTTTGAAAAAAGAGATAGACATACAAAAAGAGAGAGAAAATAAAAAAATTTGAACGAACGTGAAATCTTTTTATCACTTTTGATGAATATAGATGTAATTTCTATCTTTTTTATGTGTCTATCTCTTTTCTTCAAATAGACTAATGGAGCAACTACTGCATACGTGTTAGTAACTACTCGTGATATATTATAAAATTTCTCAATCTTTTCCTAATTTTAAAATGGGTAAATTTTAATTTCCGAGGTTTATGTGTTGGATTCTATTTCATCTAAAACCTTTTGTTTTATTGCAATCGATCTCCTGTATCTTTCGTACTTGTTTTACTCATCCTTTTCGTTCGTTTCTATGGGAAATAGTAACAGAAAAGGTGAAGTTTTGCCAGTGTGAAATAACCACATAGGTCTATTAAGTGCGAGTGAGAGCCTTTAAGCTTATTTAATAAATCAATTAGGTTTGACTCATCTTCTTCGTCTCTATTTCAGGGTCAACGCCAGCTTGTTTAAAAGTGAAATTTTGCCAGTGTGATCTCAAATCACTAGACTCTAGAATTGGTTAGATAAAGTTTAATAACAAAAATACCTAATGGATATAAGACAATTCGATGTAAACAAGATCAAAAATGAATATTTATAAGATAGTTTGCGATGCCGCTTATTTCAAGTTAGATATAAAAGGTGATTTTCATTTTTTTTTTATATATATAATCAACTCCTTATTTTTTATCTTTACAAGACTAGTTTTAAAGTTTTTAATTATCTAAATATAAGGTGACAATACTATTTCTTTTTTTTTCCCTTAAAGTTGTCGTCCCGACATCTGTCTATGGCATATGTCCCTTTGGCATGATTTTTTCTATCATTACTTTCTTATTTCTTTTTTTATTTTTTGGTTTTTTCAAGATTTTTCATCTTATATTGTGAATAAAACTAATTTTGTTCAAGATAAAAAAATAAGATTTATTTTTTTTAACAAATGTGATTCTAAAATTCGAATCATGTACATTAATAAAAAATTTATCTGAAAACCAATTTGTTGCTTTCTTATTTAGATTGGTTAATGAATTAATAATTGCTGTAATTTTCTTAAGATGACTTGTATCTTTCTTGCTCACTAATGAATTTCGTAGAGCTGTAGTTGGCTTCTTTGAAATTATGAAAGTAAACTTAAACACAAACACATATTTTCTTTCTTTCTATTTCGAATGGTAAATTGCTCTCCTCTGCAAGTTGTTAAAAGCAAGATGCAAAGCTAGCTGTAGATGTCACAATTTAAGGTAACTTTCTGGTGTTGAAGATGGTTTAAGAAAAAGAGAAAAAGATAACAATAATTCTTATAATTTTGACCAAATATTGCTTACCTTTCCACATTTTACACTGGAGGAAAAAAAAAAAAAAAAGGAATTTTAGTCCCACCTTTATTAAATATGATTATCCAAATCACTTTATTCTTCATTATCCCTGCCTTTATTCTACAATCTACACCACATTTAGAGACTTTATCCCTCTTTATTTTGTTTTTTGTTTTTATCTTTATTGTCCCTTCTTCTAGTAATTCCTCGTGACTGCTTCTACTTTTATCTTTTTCGCCTTTTTTTTATTCTGCTATCATTTTCTTATTGTGTGAAATATTATCTTTTTTTTAAAAAAAAGAATTACTTTTTCATTTACCAAAATATCTTTCTTGTAGTAATTCTTTTACACCATCTTGTAGTGAAATTGAGAGAGAGAAGGAGGTACAAGGGAGGGTTAATTATGGTAGTGGGCAGAGGGTCCACGAGAATAAATGGTGTTGATGACACAACCTTGATCACAATTTTCAAGATGTTCAGAGCCAAAATTTCCTGCTTTCGGGAGGAGGAACACATAGATCCATCAATCTCCATCACTGCCAGCCCAAATTCTCTGTATTGATTTGAGAGCCTCTTCAGCCTTTCCCACCAACTTTAGTTGCATTTTTTCAAGATAAGATGCACATATATACCATTACCATTCGTAATTCTAACAACACAAAGTGCCAAATTATAAGAATTGATGTGGATATTCTCCTCGATCTTAAAAAATATATATATTTTTACACAGTTTAAGATTGTTGTGTTATTTTAATATTTTTTGTTCGAATTTAAAAAAAAATATAATTAGAAATATTAGATATTTTAATATATTTTTTTAAGAATTGTTAATATTAGATTTTAATTAGAAATATTTTAGAAAAAGTATATATAATTTAAAATTTTGATCAAACAAATATTTCAAAACAGATATAAAAAAAAACAAACTATTTCAAAACAGAATTACCTTTTCAATATATATATATATATATATATATATATACACACACATATAAACAATTTAAGGATCTCTCCTATCCGACAAAAAAAAAAAAACAAAAGGGATCTAAAACAAATAGTGGTTAGAACTTTCTCTTCAAGTGGTGTCAAAAAGCTTGAACGTTTGGCCAAGGATTTTTGTTGGTTCAATTATGCAGAATCGTGGACATCGATCATTAATTATTTATGGTAAGGTAATACTTATAATCGGGACGGAGGATCTTATGGTGGGGCATGGACCATTTATCAACTGTTCTACATATTGTTATCTCTACTTAAGAAAGAGAAGCAGAAAAAAACGTCAAATTTTGTTTTTGTTAGCCATCATTCCCTAATTTAAATATCTTCACGAGTCACGACGAGTTTTACTTGGAAAAGTTAGAATTTTAAGTTCAGAAACTGTCCACCGGATGGAAAAATGTGTTTATAATCCTTTTACTTTTAATGACTGATGAACGAGAAATTTTATAACATTCAAAAAGTAATTATTATATATGTATAGTAATTATTTATGGATTTGTTTTTGAAAAAAGACACACACACACACACATATATAAGAGAATTATATCTGGACCTATAAAAAACGATAAGAAAATTTTCATGTTGATTTAATTTTTTTAAATTCTTTTGTGTTTATTTTTCTATAGAGTAACTTACATCAATTATTTTTTAAATATTATAAAATTTTTTATTGATCAACTAGGTTTGATGTATTTTAATTGCTAATATTCAAAAAATAATTAGCGTATATGTATATGAATCATTTTATAAACCTATTTTTGATAAAAGAGAAAGACATATAAAAAAAGAAAGAATTATATCTGAACTTATCAAAAGCGATAAAAAGATTTTCTCATTGGTTCAAATTTTTTTATTTTTTATTTTTGTCTATTTCTCTATGGTGTAACTTACACTAATTATTCAAATATTATACAATTTCTTGTTGACCAACTAGGTTTGATGTATTTTAATTGCCAATTAATTATTGATGAGCCAGTTTTAACTTCAACCCATTTCCTGTCATTTTGAGTGAAAAAATCAAGAAACCTAACTACAGTTGAAAAGATCACACAAGAAATAACAATTCTAGAGTACTATAGAATTAAAAAAAAAACGAAGATATTTTAATCAAGCTACTTAACAACTTCAAATCCATCAATAAGAATCTTGTTATCTTATTTTTGAATACGTACCAGTTAAATAAAAAGCTAGTTATCATTGTCAATTGTGATTAAATGTGAGGAAAGTCATAAGCTTTTTATATGAATATACCTTTCATATATATCTTATCCAGAGGAAATCTTTCTTTACAATGTCGATGCATGTGCTCTAGCTAACTCCACTCGTTCTTTGTTTATCCAACTTTCTAGTGATATAGATAATCGTGTTGATTAGCTTGTATCAAACCATCATTCTCACGTAAAATAAATAAATAACTGATAAATAATATATAAAGTTAAAAAAGTGGGTTTTTTTTCTTGAAATCCTAGGCGGTTTTCTTTTTAATAAGTGGCAATTGTCTACTTTTCTCGAAGCAACAACAGACTTAGAAACTATAGAACCTGGCTTTGAGTTCTTGACACCCTATTTATCTAAGAGATCAACACCTCTAAGTTCTTGCAGACCCCCTTCCTCAAGAACTAAAAGAGACAAAAAAGACCTAATCTTATGAATCCAGGAGCTTTGAACTTAGCTTAAGGTAACTGAGTAGCAGTTGCTTTGAGAAAGAGAGTCGGTATATGATGAAGTACGACAATGGTGGTCAATCTTTTGACAAAAAAGCTCAATTAAAGCAAAAAAAAGGTTTCATCAACCACCTAGACCTTCATGAATGCCCATCTCATTCTCACTTCTACGGTCAACTTGGAAGAAAAAGAAAGAGGCAGAAAATTCAGTGACAGTGTAGACTCAGAAGTGGCAATACCAATATGATCAAAAGAACCATTTTCTCTCTCCACACATTTCCATCTCTATTTCTTGAAAGTGAGAGAGAGAGAGAGAGAGAGAGAGAGAGAGAGGAGGCAAGGGAGAGTCAATACTCAAACACAATCCCTAAAATCAAAAAACAAGTAAGAAAATGATGGAGGATGGAAGCTAGTTGGAAACTTTGTCTGTTTCTTTTCTAGCTCTAGAAATAGAAAGAAAGAAATGGGTTAAAGAATACGTACAAAGACAAGATACCATCAAGAATGAACTTGTTTAATCTGATGACACTGAGCTTAAACACTTTCCACAGTGGTTGTAAGAGAAAGCAAGAAGGTTATGGCTAAGAAGAAGATCAGAATTTGGAGAGGAGAAGAGTTAGACAAAAGGGAGGTGAAGGAGAAGATGAGAAGAGAAAGATGGGAGAGAGTTTGAAAGGTGGGTTTTGCTAGTGAAGCAAGCACTAAACAAGGAGCTTATAGTAGTGTTGAGGGCCAAAAAGAAGAGAGAGAGAAAGCAGATTTTTTTTTTTTTTTTTTTACTGACAAAGAGGAGTACGGTGTGTTTTAGTGAAGGAAAAAAAAAAAAAAAAAAAAGGGTAGAGTGCTTCCTTTGCTTTGCTTGCACTATCAGGCATCAAATTTTTACGCCATATTGAGAGCAGGATGTCAGAGAGTGGAGAGGACAAAGGACAGAGAACCGCAGAAAGAATTATGAGAAGAAATGTTCTTCAAAAAGAAAATGGAGCCTAAATCTTTGTTTACATGTTGTCTATGCATAGAACCCTAAAAAGTTTAAAGAGGGCTAATCCCATCAATTCTGGTTGGAGCTAGTTTTATGCATGTCTCGGGTGTTTTTGTATAAAGAAAATGGGCAAAACACTCTCACCCAATCTGTGTGTTTATTGGCTTAACAAATCAATAAGACCATGACTCCTTTCTATAGAAACAATAGATTTTCTAGGAGGTTCACATTACTAACTAATATACTGCTTATGCATATACATATCCAACCGATTCTAATGACATTAATGAAAACACAATAAATGAAGTTTAATTCGTCCTTTTTAAACTTGTATCTTTTGGTGCCATGACTCAAAGTTTCTTCTGCGAATGTAGAAAAATATCAGTTTTGTAAATTAATATATCAGCAACTTGCTCAGTTGTTTTCACATGAATCAGGTCCACTTCTTTTTCCTTCACATGCCTTCTAATGAAGTGAAAACGAGCATCAATTTACTTCAATCGTTCATGATGAATGCTTTAGCTAATGAAACAGCTGATTTATTATCAATATAAATTGGTTGCATCTTCTTGCTTCAATTCTCCTGTAATTTCCTCAACCAAATGGCATGACAAACACAAAGAAACAACTGCAAAGTGCAACAATAGATTGCTTCCTAATAAATTATTAAATTAGAGATAATTGGGATTGAATTTTATTTCCAAAAAAAAAAAAAAATTTAAGCCTTATTTATGGAGGGTGATTTTATTTATTCAATGTATTCTCCTTCACCTGTAATTCATTTTTTTAAGATATATATTATTTAATATGAGATATAATTTTTAATATTTTTTTATTTATTGTTCATCTTTTAAGATATATTAATAAGTCCGAGTTTCGTAATTTTTACCGAATTGTTGAATCTCTTCGAAATTTTAATATCATATTAAATTAGATAATTAAAATTGAATTTCATTTAAACACTTAAATCTTATAATCGATAATTTAACTTTATATAATATTCATTTTTGTTTATCTATTTAAAGTAAAATATATTCACTTACATCCACCAACATGGTGTTGTGCTTCTCTATCTCTCCTTACGCATTTCTTTTTATATATTTTGAGCATCCACTCGACACCAATTTGTGTCCCTGTTTCATCCTTCGTAGCTTTTCTCTACTTAGTTTCTCGAGGAGCTTTTTCAAATGTCAATGGATCACAACCTGTAATTCATCAAAATCAATTCTTTGTACGGCATTGCATTTCTCCTAAATGCTCTTTGTCTTCCTCTTCCATGGTGTTAGACAAGAACAACTGTCCCATTAATTTGGAGTGTCATGCAATTCATGTGAATGATTTATATTCCAAAGAAATGAATGAAATTGATTTATTTATTGTTGATGAAACACTATTGCTATTATTTAGTAATAACTAATCCCTTACTTCTCATTCCTTTTTTTCTTTCTTCCAAATTTTAAACTTCTTGGGTCAAAATTAGGCTATTTTTCTGATCCATCAATTAGTTCTTATCATTCACCTTAATTTGCAAGGAATTTTGTTTATTTGAAAATAGAGAAGTAAAAAAAAAAAAAAAACAGTAGTAATGGCTAGTTTAAAAATACTGTTGAGGCACATGAGGGGACGAAAGTGTGATAATTAGCTTTTGGCTAAGAATAGAAAGCTTTATTAGTGGTGTTTTAATTGCTTCACAGGCCAGAAATACTATTAGTATAAAAGTTTTCACTAGCTAGGGACCATTCAAGATGCTAAATAATAATAATAATAATAATAATAATCACGTAAGACATATATAGTTACAAAATACTTTTTTTTTTTTTTTAAATCAGAGTAAACTCGTTAAAATGTTGGTGAGGAAAGAACACACGTAAAAGTCAATCATACAACATCATAGGTTTTTTCAGAGGCATGATGGTTAGTGGATCATAAAATAGGGTAATTTTTTTGAGAAATTTTATAATACATCGGGAGTAATTAGTGACATGTATAGTAGTTACTTCATGGGTTTACTTTGAAAAAAGAGATAGACATACAAAAAGAGAGAGAGAAAATAAAAAAATTTGAACGAACGTGAAATCTTTTTATCACTTTTGATGAATATAGATGTAATTTCTATCTTTTTTATGTGTCTATCTCTTTTCTTCAAATAGACTAATGGAGCAACTACTGCATACGTGTTAGTAGCTACTCGTGATATATTATAAAATTTCTCAATCTTTTCCTAATTTTAAAATGGGTAAATTTTAATTTCCGAGGTTTATGTGTTGGATTCTATTTCATCTAAAACCTTTTGTTTTATTGCAATCGATCTCCTGTATCTTTCGTACTTGTTTTACTCATCCTTTTCGTTCGTTTCTATGGGAAATAGTAACAGAAAAGGTGAAGTTTTGCCAGTGTGAAATAACCACATAGGTCTATTAAGTGCGAGTGAGAGCCTTTAAGCTTATTTAATAAATCAATTAGGTTTGACTCATCTTCTTCGTCTCTATTTCAGGGTCAACGCCAGCTTGTTTAAAAGTGAAATTTTGCCAGTGTGATCTCAAATCACTAGACTCTAGAATTGGTTAGATAAAGTTTAATAACAAAAATACCTAATGGATATAAGACAATTCGATGTAAACAAGATCAAAAATGAATATTTATAAGATAGTTTGCGATGCCGCTTATTTCAAGTTAGATATAAAAGGTGATTTTCATTTTTTTTTTTATATATATAATCAACTCCTTATTTTTTATCTTTACAAGACTAGTTTTAAAGTTTTTAATTATCTAAATATAAGGTGACAATACTATTTCTTTTTTTTTTCCCTTAAAGTTGTCGTCCCGACATCTGTCTATGGCATATGTCCCTTTGGCATGATTTTTTCTATCATTACTTTCTTATTTCTTTTTTTATTTTTTGGTTTTTTCAAGATTTTTCATCTTATATTGTGAATAAAACTAATTTTGTTCAAGATAAAAAAATAAGATTTATTTTTTTTAACAAATGTGATTCTAAAATTCGAATCATGTACATTAATAAAAAATTTATCCGAAAACCAATTTGTTGCTTTCTTATTTAGATTGGTTAATGAATTAATAATTGCTGTAATTTTCTTAAGATGACTTGTATCTTTCTTGCTCACTAATGAATTTCGTAGAGCTGTAGTTGGCTTCTTTGAAATTATGAAAGTAAACTTAAACACAAACACATATTTTCTTTCTTTCTATTTCGAATGGTAAATTGCTCTCCTCTGCAAGTTGTTAAAAGCAAGATGCAAAGCTAGCTGTAGATGTCACAATTTAAGGTAACTTTCTGGTGTTGAAGATGGTTTAAGAAAAAGAGAAAAAGATAACAATAATTCTTATAATTTTGACCAAATATTGCTTACCTTTCCACATTTTACACTGGAGGAAAAAAAAAAAAAAAAAGGAATTTTAGTCCCACCTTTATTAAATATGATTATCCAAATCACTTTATTCTTCATTATCCCTGCCTTTATTCTACAATCTACACCACATTTAGAGACTTTATCCCTCTTTATTTTGTTTTTTGTTTTTATCTTTATTGTCCCTTCTTCTAGTAATTCCTCGTGACTGCTTCTACTTTTATCTTTTTCGCCTTTTTTTTATTCTGCTATCATTTTCTTATTGTGTGAAATATTATCTTTTTTTTAAAAAAAAGAATTACTTTTTCATTTACCAAAATATCTTTCTTGTAGTAATTCTTTTACACCATCTTGTAGTGAAATTGAGAGAGAGAAGGAGGTACAAGGGAGGGTTAATTATGGTAGTGGGCAGAGGGTCCACGAGAATAAATGGTGTTGATGACACAACCTTGATCACAATTTTCAAGATGTTCAGAGCCAAAATTTCCTGCTTTCGGGAGGAGGAACACATAGATCCATCAATCTCCATCACTGCCAGCCCAAATTCTCTGTATTGATTTGAGAGCCTCTTCAGCCTTTCCCACCAACTTTAGTTGCATTTTTTCAAGATAAGATGCACATATATACCATTACCATTCGTAATTCTAACAACACAAAGTGCCAAATTATAAGAATTGATGTGGATATTCTCCTCGATCTTAAAAAATATATATATTTTTACACAGTTTAAGATTGTTGTGTTATTTTAATATTTTTTGTTCGAATTTAAAAAAAAATATAATTAGAAATATTAGATATTTTAATATATTTTTTTAAGAATTGTTAATATTAGATTTTAATTAGAAATATTTTAGAAAAAGTAT